TTTTTAGTATTGTATTTTATCATGTTAATTTGTTGTATAAAAAAAACTTTTAATTTCTTTTAATTATTTAACGGTTTTCATTTATTAACTGTTAGATTTTAATATTGAAATACATATTACGAACATTGAAAATATTAAAGAATCTGGATCATGGATGAAATAAGTGGTAATACTGGTAATTGGGGGGGGGGGGGTATAAATTATATGCCTTAACTATATGCATTAATTATATAAAAATTTAAATACGGCCCTGGTTACACAATTAAACCAAACATAAAAAATTGTATTTACTTTAACAATTGTCAAACCATTCTCTAATGACTAATATGGATTTAATAACCAAATAAATAACTACAGTATAACAGTATAGAAATAATTATTTCATAAATACAAATATTTATTTTAAAGTTTTTTTTATCTAATGTAGATACTATTATGTAACATCAATAAACATTTTTTTTTTTTAGAACTCTTACCCCTTAACTAATTTTTAGTTTCCCGCTTTACCACTGTTTGATTTGATTAACTTTGTTGTATTTACATTAAATTAAAATTATTGTTATCTGTCAATACATTTTTGTGTGTCGGGTGCCGTTTGACCGGGACAGGTGCATAATAAAATGTTCACACAGTTTTCCTCAATTGTTAATTAAAAATATGAGAATCAACTCGACCCATATTAAATATAATATATCATTTTGAATACAATGGTCAATAGCTACACATTGCTATAACCATAATAATGATGTATTATTAATAAAAAATATCATGATTTATGCATAAATAAATTATGAGTGTGAATTGAGAATGATTATATACTAATTGTTAATGCGTAATTAATTTTTTTTTTTAAATATGCATACAATGTAAGCGTGTATAATTCTCACCAAGTGTAATTATCTGCGTAGAGTAGACTATAAAAAATTTAAGAAAGCTACCCCCCGACTAAAGTAAAACAATAGTTTTAATAGTGTGAATACTCAGCTCTTAGATAATAAATTTTCTTCTATTTTGAAACTAGCAACCAGCTCAATTTTTTTTATTTTCTTTAAAAAACGTGAGTATGTTAAATTTTCACAGAATTGAACGATATGAACATGTGCCACAAAGCCTTCGAAATACCAATATTATTGTCAAAAGATGTTAAAATCAATGATTTAAATTCAAATATTTGTTATATAACATTGTAAATGTTTAGAATATCAAAAGTGTCGAGAAGTATTTTCCTAATTGTATCCTTTCAATAAAATTCTAATAAAAGAAATTATTAGTTCAAATCAGTTGAAATATGCACGTTTTTAAAGATAATTCAAAAATCGAGGGGGGTGCCAGTTTTAAAATATAAAAAAAACCGAAATTTGAACCAACCCATTTAATACTCGCTAAAAGAGTTACTTAATTTAAATTTTGAAATTGAAATGTTTATCGAATAAAAGTACTTTAACTAGTAAAATAAAAATGGTATCAAGATAATATTTTAATGCGCTATTAGCTTGTCGTTAATTATATTAGCAAATGAGTAATAATTTAAAATTGATCTAATTCAAATTTTTTTCAAAACTAAAATCGGAGTATTTTTAGGTAAGTTCTGTTCGAAGTAGAAACGTATGTTTTTTTACAAAAATAGATCCTGCATGCGTTATAAAAAAATTAAATATCAAAATAGATTTTTTTTTACTATGGTAACATGTAAGTTTAAACATTTTAGCTTAATGTTAAGTTTTAGTAAATAATTGCCTATACAATGCGCCTTAATAAATGCTAGTGTAGAGGCCCTTTAACTGAAAGTTTATTATCATTGTTAACATGTTTTATGACCATGTAGTGGTAATTGGTATTTTAATTAACTAATTATATTAATATTAAGTGCAAAATCAATTGTAAACTTTAAATTCAACGAGTTTTATTGTTTATACCTACGGTTTTAGTAATGGATAATAATTTATTTTATTATTGCGGGTAAATTGAAATGGGACAACAATGCATGAGAACATAAACCCGCGTGTTAATTAATTTCAAATACTTATTGTACTTTTAAATCGTAGGTACCTACTTTCATTATTTCTATAGGTTATAGGCATTACTCATTAGACAATTAGTAGAGAAAAAAAAACCATGCGCTAGCAACAGTGAAATACAGTTTTTATAATATTCAAGTATAATATAATTTTATAAAAAAAAAAAAAATTGAGTTATGTATTGAAACTATGCGTTTTCAAAAACATATCCATGTTAAAGTGTTTAGTAAAGACATTGATTATAAATAGTTACTTATAATCAATGGCAAAGGTAATAATTTTTGGCCAACATTTAATTTAGGGCTAAATTAGATTGTATTTATATTTTATTGGTAAATTATTGAAATTATTTTATTAGTAGTTCATTTTATTTATCACACTATCACAGCCCTTATTTTTGACATATAATCTTAATTTAATCAATAGTAGGTATTTATTTTATAAAATGTTTGGTAGTCACTTATTCGACTTTTTTTTTAGTGGATGTCGCCAAAACTTTTTTTTTCGCATTTTATAGTTACACACTTTAGAGAGAGAGGTCCAGTTTACCAGACCTTATGTACAAAAAATACCCTCAACATTTTAAATAAAAACAAAAGGAATCATGTCAAAAAGGTAAATAAATACCTAATTATTATTTAAAATTTTGGCACGTCAGTTTTGCTTGAAAATATCTTTGTACAGCATGATGGTCGACTTCTGGCGTTCTAAATGCTTATATTGATACAGTCACTCGCAATTCTATATAATAATAGTTTTATAGCAACTTATATATAACGCGAATATGAATATTTAAAGAGTCTATTGTAATTTCAATTATCATATTTTGTTCGTTTGAAATTTTTAACCCATAGTGTAATCTGACATAATGACCTTCGTATTTGTTAAAAAATACTCTGCTATTTTAATAAGGGTTACTATTTGCATATGCACAGAGTCAAATGTTCAACCTCATTTCCTCTCTAACAGTCAATTCATAAAATATTAATGCATACAATTTACAACGGCAGTCTAAAGCTACTGTACTAGTAAGGTACCTACTTGAATAAATATTTACATTTATTCCCTAAACTTTTTATGCTGTTTACTTTTAAATTTCCTGTACACGTCTCTTATACAATATTTACTCGCATATAGTGCAAACACCTTTGTCTAAGAAATGTATTAATATATTAAGTGATTTAAAACAAAACTATAATTAGAAAAACAAATACAGTTATCAATATAGACAATATATATATATATATATATATCCGCGTCCAATCTCATTTAATTACCTAAATATTAATCGGTAACAATTATTATGTAAACGATAATTATTAAAAACTGGTCATTTATACTTAAAAAAATGCTAAGAAGAAACGCGTTCCAAAAACAACAGATGCCAAATGTTCACAAGAACAGTATTTGAAACGGGTTATTTTTGTATGAACAAGATACAATTGACCAAGTTACAAATTCAGTTGTGTCTGAGATTTGTAAATAATTTTGGTTGCTATAGAGGGGGCACTAATTTTGAAAAATTGAATTACTATTTACTATTTTCCTGAAAATAATTTGTCACCGTCCACATCTATGTCGTGGATTTTTACATTGTTCTATATTACAAATCTACAGTAATAATAATAATATATTTTTTTCTTAGTATATAAATATACTAAGAAAAAAATATTGATGTGTGATTTTTTTTAACGTCTCGTCTTTCGATAAAATATTGTTACGTAAGTCGTAAATAAATCTATGCTAAAATTTAATATTAAGCTCCAATTAAAGAGGCCTCACTTCAATTACAAAACTTTTTTAATCGTCGAATAGCAACGACCATCTATTTATATATATTTTTGATAATTATTTTTTTTAAAAATGGATTCACGTAACAAATTATTGAATAGGTACATAACAAAGGACGTTACGTTTTATAATATTATGTAGGGATGTACATAAGTTAATAAAATATTATTCAAAATATCCAATTTGTCGCTGTTTTCCTTATTGTATAACAATGCAAAATTATAATATAATATAACTTAAAAAAGATTGCCAGAACAGATTAGAGTGGAAATTACTATTATATTTAAAATTAAAATTTGTATTAACTATATTAATGTGTTTGTTGTTATGGAACAATGAAAATAAATTTAAAATTTCACAATTATTCCGAACGATTCGGCATTTTGTAAATAACGTTTAAAGAAATAATTCTGCAAACAATAGAATATAAAATTTGAACCTTTGCAATTTTGGATTTTAACATTTTTGTTTTTATTATTTTTTGAATATTATCAAAGGATAACCAGAAGAGAAACTAAACAAATTACACGTGATATATGAGCCTATTATAATGGGCTCAGTAAAACAAAAAAAAAGAGAAATTTCATAGGAAAATCGAAAAACTATCACAGTAATTGAAATAGTTGAAACAATTATGCGTAAAACTAAGATAATTTTTCGCTTTTTTGACTTTTCTACGAAATTTCACTTTTTTATTTAATTACACATTTTTTGTAAAATAATTATCTCAGCTTTCTGAAAAAATATTAGAAAAATTCTCAAATTTTGGGCAACACGGAAAAACCAACTTTTCAGAATATAAACTCAATTTTAATGACTTTCTTTTATACGAATATAGAAACCAATATTTTGTTTCGGAAATCTGAGATTATTTTACATAAGAAACTGATTTTTAATCTTTTTTTTTTTTGTCCGAAGATACTATTTAAATTTAAATAATGATAAAAACTGAAGTTTCCAAAAAAAAATCAAGAATACTTTTTACTATGGCCAAAAAATAATCCAAACAAATTTGATGATGAAAAACATTTTTGTCATCGTAATAGAATATAGTATGCAGTGTAATTTTCATTAAGTATACTTAATCAATGCATATTAACATAACCACAAAATTATTATTCTTTCTTCCATGGGCCAGTACTTTTTTCCCGCGTAAATTATCATCGTGCTCAAGGCGTTTGTGTTCAAAGATAAAGAAGGAAAAAAACTAAGTAGCGTTTATAGCAAACTGCAAAGTAGCAAATTGTTCTGCGACCTGTGTTTAGGTCTTAGGCTGGTGTTTTAACTGTTCCGCTCTATTACCAGCGTCAAAACATTAAAAGTTTTTAAAAAATAATTTAACATTGTCATGGGAATTACAGGACTAGCTAAACTCATAGCGGACGTGGCTCCGAACGCTATAAGAGAAAATGAAATCAAAAACCATTTTGGTAAGAAATAAAATCCGTTTATTTGAATTTTAGCTATCAATTGGCATTTTATCGTCACGGTTTTTTAGGTAGAAAAATTGCTATTGACGCTTCCATGAGTCTTTATCAGTTCTTAATAGCAGTACGCAGTGAGGGAGCACAATTAACTTCTGTCGATGGAGAAACCACCAGGTAAATTATGACACACCTAATTATACATTTTGTTCTTGGAAATTAAAATATCTATCTCAGACATTGTGTGATCACTCACTATTTCTAGCTCCTTTGACTAGTGAGGAAACGTCAATTTAATAGGAGCTTTGTCGTCCTTCTTTCGCAGAGTCACGACTTGTTGTTTACCAAATGTTTAGAAATCGCTTTGGAAGAGGCAGTGGTGATGGTCCTAAATAAGCCTCTATGATCATTATGTGACTGCTAACATAACTCTTTTTTGTTTTTTAGTCATTTAATGGGAACATTCTATCGTACTATAAGACTAATAGAGAATGGCATCAAGCCAGTATATGTATTTGACGGAAAACCACCTCAAATGAAGTCATCTGAACTTGAAAAGCGTACTGAACGGCGAGAAGAAGCTCAGAAAGCTCTAGAAAAAGCAGAAGAAGCAGGTAACATTACTTCTTTATGTATTATACCAACTATAAACTGAAAGATAGTACAAATGCAATATTACATTTTTCTGACTTAAAAGTTTGGAGAAACGGTAACTTGTTTAAAGTTCATCCTAAGTGTTTATGGAGGCTCTATTAAATTACTCAATCACAGTTACAGTATAATAGCAAATTTTGAAAACATAATGAACTCAATAGTACTCGGTAAATTTTTTTGTTTATAAATAAGTCTGATTTACGTTATCAAATGCATTTTATTGTAATTATAACATTATATATTTTTATTATAATTTTCTATTTATTTATTTAGGTGATACTACTGAAATTGATAAATTCAGTAAAAGATTAGTAAAAGTGACATCGGTCCATACCAAAGAATGCAAAGATCTATTGAAACTTATGGGCGTACCTTTTATTGAAGTAAATCATTTTAATAATAATAACCTACCTTTTTTATTTACTTGATACTTTAATTGCACATTAATAATATCCAATAATTATATTTTTGGATATTAACATCTAATATCAATAGCGTAAAAACCAATTGTTAAATGCGTTTTGACCAGAGTTAATATCTATTTTCTAATTAACTTGTTCACAAATGATTAGGCTCCGTGTGAAGCAGAAGCCCAATGTGCTGCAATGGTCAAAGCAGGAAAAGTGTATGCTACTGCAACGGAGGACATGGATGCTCTGACTTTTGGTTCCCCGGTGTTGTTACGGCATTTAACATTTAGTGAAGCGAGAAAAATGCCAATTCAAGAATTCCAGTATGATTCTGTATTAGAAGGAATGGGGATGACCAGAAATGAAGTATGTTCATTAATGTATTTTTATTTATATTTACTTTTAACTTGTTAGTTATTCGTTTTTTTTTTTTTTTTTTAGTTCATTGATTTATGTATACTGTTAGGATGCGATTATTGCAATAGCATTAAAGGCGTTGGACCTAAAAGAGCTATAGAATTAATGAGACAATATAAGTCGCTGGAAAATATACTGGAAAACCTCGATCAAAAAAAATATCAAGTGCCTGAAGATTGGCCTTTCAAAGAAGCTAGGCGATTATTCATAGAGCCCGAAGTTGCTGATCCAGAAACGATCGAGGTGAGCGCTTAAGTTTATTGGATTTTTTTGTTTCTCATTCTTATAAGAATAATTCCATTTTAAAATTAATTATTACGTTGTTTTAGTTGAAGTGGACCGATCCAGACGAAGACGGTCTAGTCGCCTATTTGTGTGGAGACCGTGCTTTTAGTGAAGATCGTGTAAGGAATGGAGCAAAGAAATTAATTAAAGCTCGATCTGGCACAACTCAGGGTAGATTGGATTCATTTTTTACATTTTCTACAACACCTAATAAACGCAAGGTAAATTCAAAAAAAAAAAATTGTTTATTACGTTAGAAAACATAAATAAAAAAACTATTCATACGCTCATGTCAAATTTTACTTGGTTGGTATTAAACATTTTAACTTTAAGTATATGTATTATTAGTATTGTTAAAATAATAACTTATTCAAAACGGTTTTTTTTTTTAGATGGAACAAGCTAAAGCAGCGGCAGATGCTAATAAAAAATCTAAAAAAGGAAATACTGGTAAACGTGGTCGTCCAAAGTAGATAATAAAATAGAATAAAATTATAGTTTATTTAAATGAAATGTACAAAATAATTATTTTTTTTACTATTATTTTGTTATTAATTTTAAAGCTTGATTGCTCTAAAGACTTAACTATAGAAATGTTCAAAATTGAATTTATGTAATAACTTTTTTTCTTTAATATATTATGTACTTTTTCTAATGGAGCATTTATTTTTGTTCTACCTCTTGGCTAATATTATTAATTTCTTGTTTTACGGGACTTGAATCGAACATAATGTGTTTTAGACGTTTATAGTTTATATTTTTAAGTAACATTTATTTGGGTAGTACATTATGTACTGTAACAGCTGTGTAAAAAATAATTTTCATTATATTTCTATCTAAAACTTATGAAATTAGTTACTTACTTGCTTATAAACTTAAAAATGTGATAAAACTATGAGAGATCATATTAGTGTAATAAGAAAATGTGAAATGTACATTACTCTCTTTTAGTGATCAAAAATATATATTTTTGATTAATCAAAAATATATAACTGAAAAGCCTTTAAGTGGTAAATACTTAAGCTAAAGTGGTGGATATTTTTAAAAATTTAGAGAATTCTAAATAATAAATGTGCTTTTTGTCAATAATACGATTTTTAAGTAGTTAAGGCCTAAAAAAAAGATTTGACTGAACAAAATGCAATTAAACAATGTACATAAACCGAAAAAGTTTATATTGATTACAGTATAGTATTTGAATGTTACAACCGCAATTTAATATTTTTTTACCTTAGGTGCAAAGCGGAGAAGATATTGTTTTTATATTTTAATTACGATTTTTTTATTAGCTGCTGGACTGATTTCTATTCTCTTCGTGTAGCAAAGGTTAGGATCAGAAATCGTACCCAAAAGATGAAATACTTCACTATATCATTTGCACGTTTATTGTCTAAAAAAGCCAACATATTTTTCGCATCAAAGCGTTTATTTAAAAGTGATTGTACCATATTCATTTATAATAATTCCTGAAGACCTGTGACCTCCCCGGTGCCCATTATGCCTTGACCCATAGATTTATAATAATAGTTCTAAAGTCTGTGCTAGATCGGTTTTTTAATCGGTCCCATCACGGCCTCCATTTTTCGTTACCGATAATTATGACCAGTTGTCTACAAGATGTTCCTAACCAACAAAAGATTGATCAGCTGTTGTAAGATGATCGTTCTATTATCTATAATTTAGCTCATGGTTCAGTGATAACATTGCAATTTGCATTTCACCTGACTTTTAGGCTTGATCTGTTAGAGTTTGGAATTTGTACCTCTTCAGAAGTACATTCTACTTTTAGTGTAGTTGTTGTTAACTTAAGTTTTCGTTAGTGTCAAGGGATTTTTCCAGTACCGAAATCCTACTTTAATTTTTTTTTTTTTATTATTGTGAATGTTTTTTTTAAAGATAATTTTTGCTTAAATATTTGTTTCGTGATGATGCAGCTATTTTTAAAATGTATCCCACGCAAATAACTTTAGCAAATTGTATTATTTTACATAAAATACAGTCTTGTTATTAGATTGTTGTGGTAATTAACTTCGAGGAAATACAGAATCAGAAAAAGTATGTACCTTCGACATGCACTTTTTACATACGGTTATAAGCCGTTAAAGTTATTTCATCAATATTTTTAACCAAGTTGCTGTCCTTGACACTGGTTTTGTTTTGTTTTCGTGTGTGTTTGTGTGAATGTAGGATTTTGCTTATACTATATTGTATGTTATGTTAGATGCACGCTGGAGGGGATTTGTCTTGACCCTTTATTTTATAATATTCAGTGTGTGATTGCACGGTGTGCTAATCTAATGTTACCACAATTTAATCCAACTATAGTTTTAAGCATGTAAGTAGTGTTCAATTTTTTACAAGTTTTTACTAATACCATGACAAATACATAATTACATATTTTATATACTTAGTTCAATTTAATACTTGAAATAGGTATGTATAATAATTTGCACATTTATGGTTTAAGTTCAATTTTTGATTTTTGCAATTTGATACGAAAATTATAATTTTAGCTTACAAAGTTTTCCTGTTTTTGTTTTTGCTATTATAAGTAATTTAAATTTAAATTATGGCTCTGTACTATAAATTATTATAGATGAGTGAATCTGAAGACGAAACTGAATCGATGGAGACTACAAGGATGTATAAGGACGACTTAGAGTTGTCCCGTTTTTCACTATACCTCAGCTCGCAAGACCTTATAAATGAATCTCCACATTATAACCAAAACTCTAGGGTATACGTTTTATGATTTGCGTACACTTCATTTAAAAGTTTATTAACTTAATAAATTTGTTATAGTTGAGTGTTACTTTTGACTCATTACCCGGAGAAGCATCAGTCGATTTTGTTCTGGTTACTTCTTCCAAAGCCCGAACGCCAGTTGATATAAACGGGTGGAACCGAAGGTCTGCATTTGAAGAGCGCATGAAGGAACAAGGTTTACTTCTTGAAGAAGATATTGTTGGTGGGTTGACATTTGTCAAAGTGCATGCTCCTGTTCCTGTCTTGCGTAGATATTGTGAAATTTTGAAATTGCGTATGCCTATGAAAGAGGTAACTAGTTGATTTTGCTATCGTAAACATTTCTATTAGCGATATTCCATTATTTTAATAAATAATTTTGGTTTGTCAATAATTTAATACTCCAGTACTTGAAGGGTGTTCTATTAAGAACGCGGGCTTAAAAAATGTATTAACTCGTTTAATTTTCTACAAAAAAGATTATATTTTATATTTTTACATTTAGTATACTTTCCGATTTAATTACAAAATACTACATCTGCAATATGTCCTCCTCCGTCTTAGTCTACACAAATTAATTGATTAAATGAAAACCGATGAAGAGATGTGTCATTAAGTGATCGCTAACTTCACAGACAGAATTAATTTGTGTAAAGTAAAAGGAGGAAGACATAATACAGATGTAGTATTTCATAAATAAATCGGAACATATACTGAATGTAAAAATATAAAGTATAATCTTTTTCGTAAAAAATTAAACGAGTTATTAAATTTTTTAAACCGGTGTTCTTTATGGGACATCTTCTGCATAGACCATTGGCTATATATTATAGTATTGCATGTATTTTTAATGTAGTAAAAAATAATAGGTTGTTGTAATTTTCGTTACCCTAAATATTCCATTATATGCCCTAATAATTTTATTGTCATTACCTGTTTATACGTGTTTGAATTACTTGTTTGTTTGTATTAGTGCCCATTGTCGGAAAATATTCCCGAAGGAGGGTTTGATATATTTGAAAAAATTAAACTAATATTAGGAAAAATTGTAAGAGTTTTTATTACTATCGATCCTGGGAAAATGACTCCGTCAAAGTACATTTTAGCAGCCGAGTATTCCCGTGACAAAAGCTATTTGTAAGCGTTTTGCGTACATTATTTAAACAACACTTTTTTTAGTGTCTCAATCTTTACTTTTTTTTATTTTTTTAGATTTAACGAGGATGATCCAAATTTTTTTTCAGCAGAAGTAAGAACTCTAGTTATAGATTTCATCTTGAATAGAATGAGTTGGGGAAAGGATCAATCTGATATTAATTGTGTTGGAATTCAATGTCTGTTGGACGAAGGTGTTTATAAAGCTGCTTATCCATTACATGATGTAAGTTTGATTTTTTTTCTTTTATCTTTAATGAAAATTTTTGTTTGTGGGACAATTAATCGTATTGTTGTACACTGTTGTAAACCGTCCAGTGAAAAGAAGCCGCCATTTCCTACTAAATTGGTGGACTATCGATTTGTCTCGTGTAGAAACAATTTATTAAATGTTAAGTTTTGTATAGTAGTAAAACACATTTTTTTTTTTTTGCAGGGCGAACATACTACTGAAAATACTCTACGACATGAATTGTACGTCGAGTGGGCTTTGATGAGCAAATGGATTCGTAGACAACCGATCGATCAAATTAAAGAATATTTAGGCGTAAAATATGCTTTTTATTTTACATGGCTGGGATTCTATACACACCTGTTGATCCCAGCTGCCATTTTGGGACTAATAGTATTCTTTTATGGTATTTTTACTTTCCCAAAAGACTCATTCAGGTATACTTATAAAACCATCACTTGATTCTGTCACAATGAACAACAAATGTCATTATTTAATTTAGTGCTGACATTTGTAATGCAAATGACGTTGTAATGTGTCCTTTATGCGATCGTACATGTGATTATTGGGAACTATCGAACACTTGTTTTTATGCAAGACTTACACATTTATTCGACAACGATTTGACTGTAATATTCGCTTTTCTTATGTCTATATGGGGTAAGTCAATGTAAGAATGTCTACATACAAAAATGTCAAAAATGATTTTGTTGAAAACAATTTACATCTAAACAAAATCCAATATTTTTTTTTCGCTATTGTCACTGGTGTAGTTGTGTAGTGTACACAGCGTATGTCGCTTACCCTTATGACTACACCACTAGTTATTATTATTTCTTTTTTTTTACAGCAACTTTATTCCTGGAGTTATGGAAAAGATACTCGGCAACCATAACACATCGTTGGGGGTTTACTGGGTTTTCTTTAGAAGCTGAACATCCAAGGCCTCAGTATCTAGCACGTCTGTCTGGAACAAAACATTCAAAGGTGAATGTAATTACTGGAAATATCGAACCAACTGTACCTTTGTGGAAAAAAATTCCTGCCATGTTATTTAGCATTTCTATTCTCTTACTTTTAGTAAGTGGTTTTTTTTTTTTTTTTCTTACTTTTAAAAAAACGTTGGTTTATTTTTCTTTCTCCCCCGATTATAGATTATGGTCGCGGTTGCTGCAGTGTTTGGAATTGTTCTATATAGGATGTCTGTCTTGGCCTCTTTGAGTCTCACTAATCAATCGGATTGGATGAATTCTTACAGCAACATACTCATCCCGACTACAGCGGCTATCATTAACTTAGTCTGCATTCAGTTATTGAACTTTGTACGTATTATTTAAAGTATAACCATCATCATCCCAAGCAGCAAAAAATAAGAACATATTTAAAATGTTGTCAATCAGTTTTATAACATTTACAAAAAGTTTTTATTCAGCGTTTTAAAAATGTTGTTAAAATATTGTCATGTAAGTGGAAATATTTTCATAATGTTTAAAAACCAATTTGTTAATAACATTATTAAGAGATTTTATCAGTAACTCTGTTACGTATACTAGAGGCCAAGAGAACTTGTCGTTGGTGTTTTTTGAGCGGCACAGGCATGCGGCGTTAGACCACGTTTATTTCCATGCGCGTTAGGGACTACTAGGTTTCTGATAGGAAGCAAATTTTATTCTATAATAAACAGTCATGAGTTTTGTCCGTTGCCTGGGAACGGTCGATTGCTGCATATTTATTTCACAGAGATATTATTTAAATACAAAAGTACAAATTTTAAATGCATTATTAAAGCTTACTATTCTAATTTAGTTACCATTTTGTCTTGCCAAAGTGATTTGTCGTAAGATATTATTTCGACTTCAGCCCAATTGTCAGTGTAAATTACAAAACAACAATGCAATTGCCTTGAATTTGATAATAATAATAATGGTCTCTTTTTAATTCTAAGCGCTGCAAATTCAAAATTTGACAAAACGCTATCTATAAAAAAATGTATTAAGTAATTAATACTTTTGTTTATTTTAGTTAATTATTTAATTTCAATATCTAAAAAAATATTTTACATGTAAACATAATCCCCTCCCCCTCCTGGCGCCGCCACTGAACACATAACAGAAATTATGAAAATAAAAAGCGATTATTTTTAATTTAGTTACTATGGTAGATTAGGTTTTAGTAGTCAAGAACGAGTCATACTATTGTAATTTGTCAGTTTCAACACATCTACAAATATTTTGGAAATTGAAAGAATTTATTTATTTTAAAAAAATACGCCGTAAAGTTTTGTAAATTATTTTGGATTTTGACTTTTTCAAAGTAATTTTGAAGATAAATAAGTCACCATATACATAAAGGTAGCACATTCTTATGGTTGTAAAGTGTAGCAATAGAAATTGCCGCTGTACACGAATGCATGGCCCAGTTTTATGCGACTGCTGGTAGATTTACCAAATCATTTTGAAACTTAATATTTATAAGAAATTAGAGAACATTAATCAAATTTTGAGTTTTTGGACGGTATTCTCGATTTTCATTCTAGGTTTCTTTTGTGCGATAGTTTTTTCATAAAAGAACATTGTTGGTTGTTTAACTTATCGCTTATCGGATATTTTTAGCTTAGATCAAGTGTAGTATCTGTTCTTATCAGCGTAACATCTTATACATCTCACATTGTGGGGTTCAAATGTTAAATTAATTTTTTAAGTTGTTGGAGATTTGGGGCTTGCTCCTACTCCATTGCGGGTTGACCTGGTATTGCAGTACCATCGGGATCAGCCCATATTAAACGTCTAATGATTATTTAAAGGTTTAAAGTTAAGCATAAGATTGAAGGTACAGACTTAGCAGGAAACTAGGTCACCTAACCGGGATGGGTTAAAATTCATTATTTTAAAAATATTGTATAATAGAAATAATATCAGTTTTTTTTTACATGGGCGATTTTTGAAAACTGAGTTATCATAATATGTTGAACTTACAGTTTTTCGAAAGCTTATTAAAAATGTTAATTTATCAAAAATCGCCCAAGTAAAAACTTAGATAAAGTCTTTAATTATGTATAGAATATGTACTTTTACACTCAGTTCCTCAGAAAATTGTCTTGACTAAGACATGTTTAACCCGCCAACCCACTTTTTTGATATGTATATTAGAATTCTGGACTAAAACTTTTTTTTAATATTTTGTAAATGTTAAAATATGTATTAATAACATTTTGAAAATATTTTTATTGTTTGCTGTCTGGGATCAAACGAATTATCATTTTTATATATTTATCATTTTTTTCAAAGGTTTACGATAAAGTTGCTATTTATTTGACTGAAATGGAACTATTACGCACACAAACGGAGTTTGATGAATCGTTAACAATTAAAATTTATCTCTTCCAGTTTGTCAATTACTATACTTCTATTATTTATATAGCATTTTTAAAAGGCAAACATGTAGGTTATCCGGCCAAGTATAAACGTATATTCAATTTAAGGCAAGAAGAAGTAAGTCGCACTATAATTTCTGGGTTAGGCCTGCCGTTTTATTTAAAATTAGTATACATGATGTCTGTAAAAATATTATAGTGCAGTCCAGGCGGATGTCTTATGGAACTTAGCATTCAGTTGTTCATCATTATGGTCGGACAACAAGCAGTGAACACTATTGTTGAAATGATAATCCCGTATGTAGCTTTTAATTAATTATTAAATTTATCAAATATCTAAGTTAAATTTAATTAGTGAGTATTTGTTGTGAAGTATATCATACGGAAATCATATGTTTGCAGAGTGGGTTTAAATTGGTTCAATTCACGCACTGAAGCTACTGGTCAGCTTGATGCTCAAAAATCATCGTCCGAAGAAAAAGATTTAGCGATGTCTGTTAAAAAACCGTGGATTGAAGATTATAAACTTTTAGACTGGGGTCCAAGAGGGCTTTTCCCTGAATATCTGGAAATGGGTAAATTAAATTATCTGTTCATTTTAGGCAAGTCGAATTCGTACCTTTGTCTTTAAATTTGTATTTTTTTTACAGTGATGCAATACGGTTTTGTTACGTTATTTGTAACCGCGTTTCCACTGGGACCATTTTTCGCTTTACTAAATAACGTTTTCGAAATGAGATTGGATGCCAAAAAGTTCTTGCGTTACTACCGCAGACCAATACCTCACAGGATTCCCAATATCGGTGTATGGTATCGCGTATTAGATATTATAGGAAAACTGGCAGTTATCACAAACGTAAGAATAGTATTTGTGTACATAATAAAAAGCCTATTACCACACATTAGATAACATTATCTGTGCTATTTCTATGTTTTGTAACTCATTTTTTTTTTTTTAATTCAATTTAGGCTTTTATTATTGCGTTTTCATCAAATTATATTCCTCGTTTGGTTTATATACTTATGAAAAGCGAAGATGGTACAGATCAAGGATTTTTGAATAGTACTTTAGCGTACTTTGACACTAAAGACTTTGAAGACGGAGTTGCTCCCTTAGGGACATCATACAATGTCACCCACTGCCGGTTAGTTTTGTTTTTTAAATTTGTGTATTGTATTTGTAAGTAGATTTATTATTAACAGGTAAAATATAAACTCGACATTTGAATTAATTTAATTAAATTGTGATTTTATATTTTTTAACTTGTAGTTATAAAGATTATCGAAACCCACCCTGGTCACCCGAGAAGTACGAAAGGCCTACGTTTTATTATGAAGTACTCGTGGCACGTCTCACGTTCATTGTTATCTTCCAGGTACGAGTTATAATTATTTAGTTGTGAAACGTTGTACATATAATTCTATAATTTCCAGAACATTGTATCGTTGGTAAAAGTAGCTGTTCAGTGGTTGATACCTGACGTGCCGACCACACTAAGCGATAGAATCAAACGAGAATCGTACCTAACAACGCAGATGATTATCAAGCAAGAAGCAAAAAAAGCAGCAGGCATTAAAGAAAAACTTATGTAACAGCAGAGGGACACACATCACATTATTAATTTATTATTTTATTTTACAGTACACTAATTGCTGTTTATTTATATTTTATTATAACTAAGTTTTATAATAATTTTATCTAATTTATTATTTGAAAAGTTCGGACCACTATTATTTTTTTGTTATTATTATCAATTTTTTTTTTATTAAAATATATTATATTGTATGTTATACAATCGCTATTATTATTATGATTATTTGCAAACAATATAACCCTTTAACTCTTAATGCAGTGGTGTAATCGTCTTAGGGTATACACTGCGTGTACTGACTTCCCTCTTATCTAAGTATGTTTGTATTTTATTGAACACGGAAATTTGAGTACTCTATTCATATCTGCACAGCTTTCGTTACGAGTACAAAAGTGGGAAGCTAGAACGCACAGCTACACCCTACGACTACACCACTGCCGTTATGTTGATTTTTTTTTACTCAATCGTGTGTGTGTGTGTGTTCGCTCAACAAATATATATATTTTACTTTATTGGTTTAATTATAATTTTTATTATGTTATATATTACAGAAATCGAACATAACACTGGTATGTTACATGATGATGATGAACCAAAAAGCTTTTAAGACTTGATATTGCGACTAGTAATATTGTGTAGGTATAAATATTGAGGAGAAAAAGACAAATTTCTTCTAACCTATTTTAAACTTTAAATCAATACATTGTACTTTTATATTGTATCCTACTTATCATTTGTTTCGGGTACAATTAATGATTGCCATTTGTTTTGTTGATGACATTTTTTTATTTTTTTGTCTGTATTCGCATCAAATGTAATTTTTTACCTTTATTTTTGTACGTCAATATTTATCTTTGTGACCAAAGAATCTCTCTTTTTTTTATGTATAAATAAATAATATTATTAAACAGACATCCATGATAACTATTAAAACTGCCATAAAATGCATTTTAGCCATTAATACTGTATTTTTATTCTGCTGGTCAGAGAACAATTGTTGCAATTTCAACATGATTACTTACATAGTTTATATTGTTATAAATATATATAGTCATTTATTATAAACAATTGAATCTGTAATAACTAAGATTAACTATTGTATAATATGTTATTATAAAACAGACTGTTAATGTTATTATTTTTTTGTTATGGTGAATATTGTGATTGTAGTATAAGGTTTTTACCAATTTCGGTGCTTCTCAAATCTCTTACTGACATTTGTGATTGTTTTTTACTAATTGTGTACTTAATAATATTATGTTTACTGGTTTACATGCATTATTTTATGTTAAATTATACTCTATAATTAATATATTAAAATATACATGATTGTGTTAAAATGTAAAACAATGTACTTTCTATTATTATATAAACGGGTCGAAATGTGTTTCAGTCAATATTAACGTTTTTAGCTTTGACCGAATTAATATTATTTACCATGAAAATAGTATTTTCGTCTTAACGGTTAAGAAAAACAATTTAAAAACACATTTGTATTACCGAGTTACCAGGTCAAAAATGTTTGGTTGCAATTATTTTGTAAAAAAAAAATGACTGTTCAAATTATTATTGGTATGTGTAAATTGGTTATCTATTTAGATAATTCAATTATTTTAAGAGGATAAATCGTATTATTTTGATTGTATGCAAAAATGTAAATTGTTAAAATTGAGGCTAATTGTTGCAATTAAAATTTTTATTACAACTGACAATGTCACTAAGACAGGATTATTTTATAATCGTTGCACACTGTCTTGGCACAACGTAGGAGATATAATATACATAATAAATAATATATACAGTCAGTAATTTAAGCATAATCTTGAAATAAAATACCGCTTTGATATAAAATTCGTACATTTGGCGGTGCTTATTAATCGTTGTTGGAATATTTTCGTGTTAAAAGCGAAACGTATTAAATCGTCTCTGTAATTATTGTTTTGACATCTGTTCAAACAAGAATAGAAAATATGCGTTTTTATCATTGGGGAAGACCATTGACGTGGGCTAAACGCCACACCGGTATGAAAACAAGCAATAAATAACAGACCTAGATATATAAAATTATAATAATATTAATAATATCAATTTCTAAAAAAAAAAAAAAAAAATGGTCACTACTTATCGGGTCTTCGCCTTACCTTAATCCTCCCAATTAATACCGTTCGCCTAAATAAATTATCCATTCTACTGTGTTGTATTATACCAAATTGGACGTTGTAAGTGCGATTTTTTTTATGCCTAGCTCGCTTACACCAAAGTGTCAGCAATGAGTGAACAACAATACCTGAACATCAGCCCAACCGAGTGAGTAAATATTTGCGTTAACACGTTTAACTCCACCGCCGTTTATATATGTATTTATATTTGTTTTGTGTGGTATTTTTTTTTTTTGCATATGTGTGTAATTATTTTTGCAAAAGGAACTGTCGGTTGTCGCCGAGGACAGTGCGCGCATGGAGGCATTTGCCAGATCAGATCAAAAACGATTCAACTTTTCGAAATTTGAAACTACGGATCGAAAACATTCCCGAGTTGGTGTACTTATCGTTTGATCAGTTTGTGTACACCCGTGTGTGTTTCGTTAAACCGTCATGTTTGTGTATTCAAGGTTTGACGATCCATCGGCTGGTCCGTCATCTAGTATGATGACTCCGGACGAATTCGAACCGCCCCCGACTCCAAACCGATTGGTAGTTCCCAAATCATCGGCACAGTATGTAAAAAAAAAAACAATGACTTAAGTTAATCTAACAAATTTTGATGTTTCATCATAGAACAATAGTCTCACACTAGCTGGCCGAATCTCGAATAGGGTAACAAACATTGGTAAATGTTACGACGACATACGCATCAAGTGCTTGTCAAAATACTGACATTATAGATAGTTCAAGTTGCAGCTCGGGATTCGGCTCATTAGTGTGGACGAGACTATATATTTATACAGTATTGCTGATTTTAATAACATACATAAATTCTATAGTAAGGGATCAACGGAAACGTTAATGAAGTCAAAGAAAAAATCTAATCGAGAATATTTCATCAGAATCGGACTGTTGTGCATATGGGTTTTCTGTACGGTAAGTTTTAAACACTCGCAAAGTCTATATTGACTGTTACTGAAAAAAGGCTTAAGCGTCTTTACAAAATAATCTTTTCGGTAATATTTGAGGCCAAAAAAAATTATTCTATATCAATTGTCTATTTATATTACTTACTTTACTATACAATTTATATTCTAAACAATTTTTTTCGGATTTAGGTTTAATTTATTTGTTATTGAATCATATGTTATAGCTAATATTGATGGCAAAACAAGAAAGAAAAGCTGACGACGTTCATCAAGTGACATTGACTCCAAATCAAACAAAAAGTAGTTTTATTCAAGATACTATGAACAATCGTACAATTTTTGTTTAATTACAAATGTTTTATCATACCTTTTTAGCTCAAGTGATATTTAAAAACTATATGCCTGACACAAGTAAAATTCAAATAGTACTGGCCGGAGCGTTTGTTCCCCAGTATTATAGATACCTAGCAACACATTTTTTTAACATATGGGTTGAGTTTGAAACGGACGAAGATTATATGAACGCCAAAAGATTGGGTTTGAAAGACGAAGAGATCCAACGTAGGGTAAATAGTTTTTGTGTATTAGTAGTGTTTTTGGAGTCAACTTCTGTGTTAAGGCACCAAACTTAGTACTAGTGGAATCAAGATTGATTCCCACACACAGCAAAACATAAATGATAGGTGTGTGTGGAGGGGGGAGGTAGAAGACAGTAAAAATGAATATAAAATCAAAAAAATGCTTCATGTTACAGAACATAACTGAAATTTGGTCAGTGCCGATAGTATGCGAGTCTTTGGTCGAGATTGTTCCAGAAATGCATCACAACAAGATATTCATGTTGGACCATTTGTCTACCAAGTAATATATTGCTTAGTTAAATATTTTGAAAAATAAAATGTTTTTTAAGAATTAAAAATTTGATTTGAATTTGAAAATGTTTTCAGTCGTACTCTTCGAGGCACCACTAGACTATGTATGAACACCACCTTGAGCACAAATTTTCCTGTAGCGTTAGCGTATGATTTATTTCCAATCAATACAGATTACGGTATCATTTTCGCCGCTCTCGTATTAATTGGTCTCTACATACTCATTATTTCAGAAGTATGTACATAAATTTATGTAACTATATTCTTCGAATTATTTTTAAATGTATAAAAAATGGGTTGCAGGTTGTACATAAAGCAATTGCTGCAATTCTTGCCGCTACTATGTCAATCGCCATCCTTGCCCTTATGAATGAGGTAATTGTATATTTCTTATTCATCAATAGTTGATAAAATTAATTTGATAAACATTATATTTGCAGAGACCAACAAAAGATGAGTTATCTTCTTGGGTAGACATTGAAACGCTACTTCTTTTGTTTTGTATGATGGTCATTGTTGGTATTTTATCTGAAACTGGCATTTTTGATTACTTGGCCATTACAGCATATAAGGTATGAAAAAAAAGGATTTAAGTTACATACTCTAATCTGTGTAATTTTGATTTTACTTATTTTATTTGTTTTTAATATTTAGAGGACCAAGGGTCAAATTTGGCCACTAATTAACACGTTATGTTTGTTTACCGCGATTGTGTCATCTATACTAGACAATGTCACTACTGTTCTTTTAATGACTCCGATTACGATTCGGTAAATTCCAAAGCTTATCAAACTAATTGCATTTTTTAGCTCCTAAAACTCATTAAATTTACAATTCTTTTAAATATTAGGTTATGTGAAGTTATGCAAATGAATCCAGTGCCTACTCTTATGTGCATAATATTTTACGCCAACATGGGAGGTGCTCTGACACTAATCGGCGATCCTCCAAACGTAATAATTGGCACTAATCGAGATGTTATTGCAAGCGTAAGCAATTGTGTTCAAATAACCAACTTTAAAATTTATTGAGTTTTAAGACTAATTTAATTTAAAACAATTTTTTAAAGGGTATTACATTTACAAAATTTTCATTGCATATGGGTGCTGGTATGGCGATTATATTTTTAACTGTAAATCTGCATCTAAGGTTTATATTTCGTAATATGCGAGACTTAAAATTTACCGAACCATCAAACGTAACAGGTAAATAGAAGTTTTTTTATCATACTTTTTTTGTTAAAATTTAACAAATCATTTTTTTTAAGAATTGAGACAAGAGTTAGCTATTTGGCAAAAAGCAGCATCTTCCTTGTCGTCGTATTCAAAAGAAGAAGGCGTTGTCAGAGATAAGTTGTTAAGGAAATGTAAACTGATATTTACAAAACTTAAAGATACTCTCAAGGGATTTAAAGTTGACGTTATACCAATTGTTGAAAAGTATGTAGCAAAGATGTAACAAAATAAAAATAATAATACTTTTTAAAAACTGAATATGTTTAGATGTTTTTGAATCCATACATTTCTTCTGCTAAATTTGGATGTATTTTTTTAAAATATGTATCCCAAAATAACACATGAAAAATATTTAAAGTAATAGTTTGTAAAAATGTAATTTTAAACTGACGTGTATGGACATTTTTCAGACATCAAACATTTGACGAGTCTGTTAAAGAATTTTTGCATAAAGTAAGAAATTACAAGCTATCGATACATTTTTTTTTTCATTTTTTGACCATTGGTTAATTATTATAGCGATAAAAAATATGTTTGTTGTTATTTTTTGTTTTAGGGAAGCACCTTAGATAAAAGCCTGTTGTACAAATGTGGCGCCACGTTAGCATTTGTCATCACCTTGTTCTGTCTCCATTCTATTCCCGAACTCAATCTCAGTCTAGGATGGATAGCGTTACTGGGAACTTTGTTTTTACTTATACTTGCTGATCACGTAGACATTGAATGCGTGTTAGGACGTATCGAATGGGCAACTTTATGTTTTTTTGCAGCATTGTTCATTCTGATCGGAGTAATTATTTTCTTTAATTACAATATCACTATTGTTATTTTTGATTTTACATATATTTTGGATTCCAGGCCTTGTCAGAGTTGGGTTTGATTGAATGGGTCGGAAAGCAGACCGAAATAGTAATCATGTCCGTGGCTAAGGAATATCGTTTGTCTATGGCCATTATTTTAGTTCTATGGGTTTCCGCCATAGTGTCTTCGTTTGTCGACAATATTCCACTGACTACAATGATGATAAAAGTAATTACGTCACTGTCGCAAAATGATGAACTAGAATTACCGTTGCAACCTTTAGTGTTCGCTTTAGCATTTGGTGGCTGCCTCGGAGGTAAAGGCTAAAATATAAATTATAATATAAGTGTATTTTTTTTTTTGCTTTATTGCAAAGTTATATCTGTGCTTTTTTTTAACACAATTTTTTAATTCTATTATTAGGAAATGGTACCGTTATTGCTGCCTCGTGTAATATGGTGTGTGCTGGAGTAGCTGAGCAACACGGTTACCGAATGTCATTTATGCAGTTTTTCAAGTAAATATAACCTTTGTGTTTGTAATACATTTTGTATGATTTGAAATTATTCTCGGGTTATATATGTATATATATATATATATACATTTAACTTAAAATGCAGCAGTGTGCTTTACATAATTTTAAATTGTGACAAATTTTTAGAGTTGGATATCCTGTTATGTTGGGCAGCGTCATAGTGGCAACGGTATATTTACTTGTTATTCACGTGACATTTGGATTTGTATGATAGCTTGTTTTATGGTTTTGCTGTATCTTTAGTGGTATAAAGTTTCTGTAAATAAGTAACATCAAGATGATCTTCAGTTTTGTGCAGTGTTATTTGATTTTTTTTTTAAATCATGTGTTATCATGTTTATTTTATTTCATTATTATTTTCTTTTGTCAAGAAAAAAAAATTATATTTTTAAAGTATTACCCAATTATTTGTTATTCAATATGGTTTAATTTTGTGTTACTACATTTTTTATGTTAGAATAAATAAAATCAATTATTTTTCCTTAACCAAAGCTATATTGTAATGTATACCTAACCTATTCATTTTTTCATAATCATATCAACTATTGTCAGCATTCTGTTATAATCAACCACTTTTACTTTTGAAAGTTTATAAAAATAATTAACCTTTTACAATCTTAGTATATGATTATCCTAATGTGGTTGTATGGCTTCTTGGTGAAATAAAAAAAAAATAATGGATATTATTTTTATTAATTAGTTGTTTAATTTTAAATTAAGACTGCATAATAAGAAATTGTGAACCTTATACCAGCTAAGAAATATATATTATTTTTAAATTGATTTATATAATACTTTCACTTTATATAGTCCTACTAAACATTAAGGATTTATGTTAGAATAAATGTGTTTTAAATGTATTTTTTATTTGTGTTGTTATACAATTTTTAAGATTATTTGAATGTTATAATAAACTATAATGGTTCTTTATAATTATTAACGATTAATTATACCTACGAATAAAAATAAAAATTGATTTTGTTCGTTAACTGGAAGCCAAGCATTGTGATTGATAAAAGTAACACAACGGTAATCTAAATTATTCGAGTAGTATTATTATTATTACATAAAAAAAATTCTATATTTATGTTAATATTGGCAATTGATGCTTTTTCCAAAGACTTGAACTTTTGTTATGAATACAAAAATTAGAGCTGAGGAAATAGAAAAGAGACAATGAAGAAACGAAAATGATCATCTACAAAGAAAAGATGTAGGTATAGTGGAAATATGATTCGTAATTTTCTCTTCTGTGAACTGTTGTAAAAGTTACTCATATCCTTTTGGTTTTCATCGCTTTCTGTATTGGATGTATCGCCAGTAAATAAAACATGAAGGTTGTTAATTATGCTGTAGAAAAACATATTACCCACAATTGGTTTGCTTTTATCGAGACGTTTCCATTTTAGGCCGGATTTTTGGACTACAGTCATAATATGTACAGTTAATGCGCGCCAATACATTTTTCGGCTTGTGGCCAACATCAAAACTATTATAATTTTATACATCTATATATATATATATTTACCTACCTAGTACAGAAAGTATGGACGAGAGCCGAGCATTTGATTAAAATTAAATACGGTATTGTGTTTTGAAATTTATTCGAAAATGTATATTTTTTATTGACCGCCATTAGTTTTGCATCGCACCAGCTCTATTTTCATAATGCAGCTGTACCAACCTACGCCCATATAATTTGTTGCGTGCATTGTGCAGCTTAAAGTTGTTATTTTATATATTTTGTGTTAAATTCCCCTAGTTGTGTAATTACTGCGTATTCGCTCATTCGCACTATCCTAACTCACGTGTGTGAATGTATTCAAGGTTCTTGGTTTTTTTCTGTTTGTGTTTTTCCGCCTGCGGAATAAGTAACAAAAGGAAATTAAATTTTCTCACGGTGTCATTGTATTGCAGATGGATAATGTAGCTATTGTACATATAAAAGTATAAACTTGTTATAGGTCTATTATAATAATATTTAATTGCGTTGAACTCGCGGCCGTAATAAGGTCGAGATTAACGATTCTTGTTTTTTTTTTCTTTTCTATAGTTTTTTTAAGAAAAAAAAACGTTATTTACCGGTTTTCTTATTTTAATTTATAAAATTTGGTAGGTATAATGTAAATTATGTTACCGTTAGTGGCATTGTTCAATGGCGGGACAAAGCCGGGCAAGCTTTTCGTTCAATGTGGCATAGGTGTAATTATTTTATAGGTTAACTATGAATATTAAATTTTCAATCACGACTTACAAGTTTGGCATAGCTATAGGGCAGAGTAAAATTTAAACTGCCGCTTGTAAATACCATATTATTACTATTACTATATTATTACACTTCAACTCGAAAGTCTACTCTTCACAATTGTATTATAGTTTTTTGTTTGTTCGAAAATTAGCTCTTATAAAGTAATTATTTTATAAGTACTTGCGTTTATGTATTGAATTGCTGATGAAACGCGCAGTAATATTCAATACTGTTGTTCTAGTTGTTTCTAATTTCAAAAGATTGTACATTTTGTGAATACCTACAATTTTATCAACTGTCATGTGAGTATTTAGCGAATAATATAGGCAAGACTGTGACGTTCAGATCATATTACTACACAGAAAGGATAGGTAAATAATACTGTAATTTAAAATCACATGGTGTACTAAGTAAAATCATTTAGCTTTACACATTTTTTCTCATTGTAAAATTGTTGTGTACCAATGCTTTGTACGCATATGTCCAATAATAATTGTAACAATAAAGCACAACAATTAAATATTTAGATTTTATTCGCTGGATATAGCGTTGTATCGATGTGCTCTTAGAAATCTGAATCGGCCTCTAAATGAATTCCATAAAAGCTATAAATCTCGAGCCCCAGACGATATTATTAAATGTAAAATTTTCTATGCCATCTTTATGGAGGTGCCTGTTTTACACAGAAAGTTACATAATATTATTTCTGATACCGGAGGCCGGAGAGGTTGCTAGGTTGTTCGATCGTTTGTGGTTTGAAAAACGAGTGATTTTAAATAATACATTTATAAATGATAATAACATGTAATATTGTGATCGGTAAACTAATTAGGTAAACCGTAGGAGGGTCGACGTCTCAGTTTTGCCCACTCGGTTTTTTTATTTAACTGCGCAGTTTTATTTTGAGTACTTCAGCTACTTACCGATCCATATTAAAGCCACGCGCGGTTCCTGAGAATGTTTTTGAAGTGTTATAACTTATATACTTACTTCGATTTATAAATAAGTCTTATACCGACAATATTTTCGTTTTGATCATACTTTTGACGCGTGCCCGTGAAAAGCGTGTACAGTTTGGTAGTAAAATGATATTTATAAGCGCAATTAGGGGTATTAGCAACCCCGATTTTTAAATTAGTACCCTCTAATATTTTTCGCATTTATCATCCTTGTTCAAAAAAACCATTAACTTTGTTAATTAAAATTCAAATACCTGGAAAATGCGGAGCTTAAGAACCCTTGGTTTTTTAATCGAAATTGCGCCTATGGATATTATTTTGATTAATGCGCGCTCGTTGAAAATAATATTATTTCAGTAACGTCGGTCAAAGTTGGGCAATAACGGATTTTCAGGATTATAAATCCAAGTTACAGAACATTGGAAATTTATACATGAATAATAAAACCCCTATATAAAGTATTATGGCCGGAAAATGGTAGATTTTCAAAACTATGAAAATCCAGATTTTGCTCAACTGCCACTGTTGATGGACACACTTACACACATAGCAACCTGGAAATTGACTATGGTAAAAGTGTGATTTTCCCGTTTTTGGGGGTTTTCCTTAATAAAAAAAAAGTTTAACTACAGATTTTTTCAGAAAATTGTATATGTTATAGGTCTATTCTAGATCTACCTTAGGTCTAATTTTCAGACCTAAATCTCTAAAACTTTGCTTGAAACAATGAAATAAAGAAAAAAATATCTATTCCTTCTAGAGGAAAAAGTATATATTCTTTGGTTTATCATAATTGTTATTTTACAATATGAGAGGACGTTACTTCGACGAAGTTACGTATTGAGCTCTTCTTAGAGAAGTTTTGTGTTATTTACACGAGCCAGTTAGTTATATTATGTCTTATACACCTGTTCATAACCACAGTCCACAACCCCCTAGAATTCGTGGCCATTGCTTCGTTTATTCTTATTATGTCATTAACCTCTTTCTTTCGAAGTATACTGAAAACGCTTTTAAGTATAGCGTTTTGATAAATGTGAAGTAAAGCCTTTATTTGTTGTCCATTCATAACCTTTTTGACAGGTTAGGTTAGGTTGGCTATTACACGTATTATGGCTATACTAAATAATATAAGAACTGTTAAGTATATGTTTGCTGTTAATTGTCTTTAAGCTCTGCACGTGTACACGCGCGCAGTTCACGAGCCGTCAGCATTAGTGACGCAGTAAAAGAATTCGCAAAGTTTCCATTCGCCCGCCCGCCCGCCTTGGAAGTCGCGCGTCGATTGTGATCTTCACCGTGTGTTAGTCGCACGTGACGGCGTAAAGCGCGGCGGCCGTGAACTGTAGGCTAGGCGTCGTGCCTAACGACGGCCGCGAGGTGGGAGTAGGACAGAAGATGGGTAAAAAGCTTGCGATAAAGCTGCGGTGTTTTTGTTTAGGTGTCGTGGCGGTGGTGGTGAAGTGTGTACCTAACAATAATAAACGCGGCGGCGGAGCGTGAATATCAGCTGATGCGGCCATATCAGCTGACTGCTTCGAAGTACGATTCCCTCCCCCTACCCGATGGCCATCGTAGATCCTAGCCTAGTACTTGGCGGCGGCGGCGGGGTTGTAGCGTAATATTATTATCGTCTCGTACATGTGTATATATATATATATATGTATATATTATTATATTTTATTTATTGTGTGTTATCGTGATTCAGTCGAGCGCTGCTGTGGCCGGCAGTGGCGGACGGTGGTGGTGCCATTTGAGCGCGCTGTTACGTCGTGTTTGTTGTTATCCGCCTCCTTTGTTTCGACCGTGTACGCTTGTGTGTAAATATTTTTGTTGTTGCGCTGGTATGACGAGCCGTGACTACTGCTATAATAACGACGGCCACCGGACGACGACAGCGGCAGGCCTAGCAGCAACAACAGCAGCGGCTAGTCTGGCCGTGGTGGAAAAAGAGTGGTACGGCGCCGTGACGGCGTAAGGCCTAGACCCGGACAATGGTTTTTGTTGCGTTGTACCAAAGCGTGGACCCTCAAGTCGTCGTCTCCAACCGCCGACGTTGTACCGTCGACAGTCGCGCGGTCCGTCCGAATTCGTCGTATTGCCGCCAACTGCAATAATAATATTTGTAATTAATTAATTATTAACAATAATTTAAGTAGTACGATAATAATATGCTACCGTTTACTTTGGGGTGAATGTCAAGGCAAGTATACTTACTTAGTTTGCATACAAAATACAAAATTAATACGGTATCAATGAACTCTCTCCCTACCATCGTACAACGCTTTGTTTACTTCAAATTTTACAAAGACATGTAATATTCTTAATATTGTGCTATAGGTACCTACCACATGTAGGTACCACGATTATTAGTTTTTCATTTAACACCTAACTGAACTTTTCTACTTACCTAATAAAAGTAATTAGACTAATATTTTAAGTAAGTGATTAAGAAGTGTTTTCCATTGGTTTTCTTTTACAATTAAGAGATGAGATGCTCGACTCGACAGCTGATATTATAAGCTTTTCGATCATTGAAAACTTTGTATTTCTGCATTCTTTTCAAATATTAATTTACAACAAACTAGTATAATACTTAAAAACAGTATTCTTATTGTTTTATTCAAATTGTATTTGTACAGTATATTGTACCGTTTACAATATAATATGTGTTGTTAAAGGAAAAAATTATCAGCTAATGGAATTTTCAAATACCTACTCGTATTTATAAAACCTTTATTGTGTGATATAAGGTCATTATCGTTCAGAATTAAATTACCTACACCTTGTCTGGCTGCAGTGACATGCTATTAATTAGATACTATTTATTCTTTATTGATCTACTAGGTATTTCAAACTGTGCTTTAAAAATGTTTATAGGTATCGAGTCTTTTTACAAACCGTCGGGACTATTATTATTTACTTTTTGGCTAAGTTTAATTTTAATTCTTATATTCTCGGAGATGGCCAGACATTATATTTGATTCGGTAAATACAATTAATCGATACTATATTTTTAAATTTAATTACGCGCATTGAAGCATTGCGCAAAATAAACTACACTCGTGTTTATCAATAACAAACTATGAACCTCTGATCTCTTATAATCCTATCACATTACAATATATTGATTAGGTGATAAATAATGTTGTCTAAAATTTTAATTTGTGTTTGGATAAAATATGTTATTTATAAACTGTATACATATATCTATTATGATACTAGTTAGCTATGTATTATATTTTTAAAACTTTGCAAATTAAAAACTGTTTTTTTAAAGCAACGGAATTTGTTTGAATACTAAGTTCTAATTTATGTTTGTAGGTATTCAATGCAAATTTATGCCTGAACTTAAATGTGACCATGGAAACACTTATAAGAGAGGTGCCTTCTAATACGCATCATCACAATCATTCGACCGTTTCGAATATGAAACATAGTTATGTACAGGTAAAGTATTACGATTCATTTTAGTAACAAAAGAGGTAATTTTTTTTATTATTATTATTTTGTTACAGTTAACCAAAACGTTTTTGGACGAAGATGCTCAAATAAATAAAAAATTACCAAAAGAACTTTTATTACGGTAAGATAAAAATAGATTTTATTTCCATTTAGTAGAGAAATAAATATAATTAACAGTATTAATTAAGATCTGTGTTTATGGTTTTAGAATATTTTCATACCTAGATGTCGTATCACTATGTCGATGCGCTCAAGTATCTCGAGGATGGAATGTACTGGCCTTGGACGGAAGCAATTGGCAAAAAATCGATCTGTTCGATTTCCAGACTGATGTTGAGGTAAATATTGTTCAAATGCTTATAATAATATTATACCTAAGTATGATATGATTTATAATCATGGTGATCATTTTCAGGGCCCAGTAATAGAAAACATTTCATGTAGATGTGGTGGTTTTCTGCGACAAATTAGTCTGCGCGGATGTCAGTCTGTCGGTGATGGTTCTCTGAAAACTCTTGCTCAGTATTGTAATCACATTGAATACATAAACCTTAATGGTTGTAAGAGGATTACTGATAGGTAATAGGGTAATTGAGTAGTAACCATATAATCTTGTTTCAAATTTTGTAGTATTACATTAATAAATTGGATAAAATCTTTTTTCAGCACTAGTCAATCTTTAAGTCAGTATTGTAAAAAGCTGCTGTCAATAGACATTGGCTCTTGTTCTAAAGTGACCGATTTGTCTTTGAAGGCTATTTCCGACGGTTGCCCAAACTTGACTCATGTCAATTTATCGTGGTGTGAAGGAATTACTGAAAATGGTAATTTTGATTCTAAGAGTTAGCAAATTAAGGTAAAACCCAAAAAAAACTGGGTTTTTGCCAACTACGATTTCAACCGTTGTTTTCTATCTTATGCAATATCATTTTTACTGTCCCGTTCACAGGCGTAGAAGCATTGGCACACGGCTGTCCTAAACTCAAGTCCTTCATATCCAAAGGATGTGCAAGAATGACGACACGAGCAATTAGTTGTTTGGCAGAGCATTGTGCGCAGCTAGAAGTAATCAATCTACATGGCTGCAATGTAAGTACATATTGAATCGTCACTGTCGGTAGCTGGGCGTGAGTTGCCGTAAGTCAGAGGAAACGATTAGAAAAATTAGAAATTGTCTCTTATAATGTTTGGCCACTAGTCACAGTCAGTTAATTTTGATTATATTACAGAGTATTGAAGACGAATCTGTGATAAAGTTGGCCAACAACTGTAATAACTTAAAATATTTGTGCTTGGCTAATTGTTCCTTACTGACTGATAATTGCCTCGTGGCTCTAGCTCAACAATGCGATCAGTTAAATACTCTTGAAGTTGCGGGCTGTTCACAGTTTACCGACACCGGGTTTCAAGCTCTTTCCAAAGTAATTATTGGTCAAACAATAAACGTGTCGTTATGATTTCATATTTATTGTATAACTTTTCTAGACTTGTCATCTTATGGAAAAAATGGATCTGGAAGAATGTGTCTTGATAACAGATTCGACTCTAGTGCATCTGGCAATAGGGTGTCCACGTCTAGAATATTTGGTGAGCTCAAATACGTCATGCTGTGTAAATGCTAACGAGTCGTGTTTAATGGTCAATTATTTTAATGTTACCAGAGTTTATCCCATTGTGAACTGATCACCGACGAGGGCATCAGACATCTGGGTACGTCTACATGTGCATCAGAACACTTGGCTGTACTAGAATTGGACAACTGTCCGTTAATCACTGACGCGTCTCTCGAGCATCTCATTAACTGTCATAACTTACAAAGGATAGAGTTGTACGATTGCCAACTCATCACACGGACAGGAATAAGACGACTTCGAGTAAGTGAATATTGTGAAATTTGTGTGTACCTATAAGAAATAAACTACAGATGTATGCCACTGATTTCGGATGGTTTTTATAAATGCATTAATTGTCAAAGTTATGAGGTCCGATTTATGGCAGGGTTTGAGCTTGAAACTATGAAGTTCGCTATAAAGCGAATCAAATAGAAGCCAATAACAAAATATATAGGTAGTATAAAAATGAAAATAAAAATGAATGTCTGTTTGTTTGTTTTGTCCTTTATGCATTAGTACACCATTCATCCGATCGCCATGAAACTTTGGGGTGTTGTTGAGTCCACTCCCGCCAACCAAACTGGCATAGTACTTTTCGAAAATTCCACCCTTAAGGATGACCTCAAACACAAACTTAGTACTTTAAATACGAAATATTTTCCGTTGCTAATCCAAAATAAACACTTGGTTTGTAACCATGGTAACCACGGTACTCAAGCGAATGGTAGGTGATGATTAAAGGAACAGGCCTATTCTATGTACCACAATTCTGGGCAAGCTTTTAACTGTTGGAACGGGATCTGGAACTGAGAGGGCTGGGACCCTTGAGTAAGAGAAGGACATAATAACCGAAAAAAGTCACAAAAACGCAGTCACGCTGTTATCTGATAAGGGATGGGGGTGGGAATGGGGGAATGGGAATTATTTTACTCAGCCCTGCCAAACTAATCCTCGGGCAACGCCGGGTCCGGACAGCTTGTACTTAATAAAAAGAAATAATGTTACTAACCAAACACATTACATGCTAATATCAATAACAAATGAATGAAACTATTAAAAAAAAAAAAACTAAAAGGATCTAAAATTTCCTAAAATATTCCCTGTTCAGTGGCATTTTATTCAATAATATTAGTATAAAATCCTTCAGCATTTGAAGATGTGTTGAAAAAAATTTATCAATGGCTTAAAATTTTGTTACGTTAAACACTAAATTTTTCCCAAATTTAAAAGTCCTGTTTTAAATCATCAGTTTACTAAAATTATTTTTAATAATGCATACATTTTTATATTGTTTGGTTTAGACACATTTGCCCAACATAAAAGTACACGCGTATTTTGCGCCCGTGACACCGCCGCCATCCACAGGCAACAGCCGTCAGCGCTATTGTCGATGTTGTGCTATATTGTGAGCCTGGCTTGAAGGCTGGCCGTGCGTGTTACGTACGTGTACCGCCTGCCTGCAGTCTTTGGCCAGCGTCTCGCAATACATTTGCCCGCCATGCATAAAGATGTGATTTCTTATTTACAAATATTATTTTATTTTTTAACTTTTTTATTTAAGTATAGTTTTGAATAAATATATATATATTGTAATGAAGTAATTTTAAGTTTTGTATAGGTGTTTATTATAGAGAAAATACATATTATATATTTATTTATATTTATACACTTATGATGTGATTAACCAAAGTTATATTATTCTGATATTTTCGTTTTTTAATTTTAATCGTGTTATATAATTATAACAAAGTATCCTTAAACCCAGTCACTCGTTGAAATTTTATTATTTTATTTTATGACGTCGTATGAGCTTTGTAGCTGTTTTGTTTTTAAACTTTTAATTTTTTTTTTGTCTAAAAATGAATTACCAAAATCTTAATGCAAAGACTTCATCTTTGGTTAATCTCATTGTGTATTTTTAAGTATATTATTACAATATTAATCATCTTGTTATCTACTATTTTCAAATTGTGTTCCTTTTCGACAATACAAATTATAATGTATACCCATTGATCCAAGTATTGTTGTACCACCTCGTCCTTAGCAATAATTCAAACTATTTCTCGTTGAATCAAATAATATGTTGATGTTTATTCAAATAGTTTATCTTACTGTTTTTGCTATTTTTTTAATTTACTTATTTCCTTCTCAGTGTGATGTTTATCGAACAATAATGTTTCCTCTTAGTGTTATATTATTATTATTATTATGATTTTAGGTAAATTAATAAAACAATTTATTTCGCGTTAATTAAAATGGTGTCTGGCTTGATACGACAAATTATTGTGTGCGTCCTCTTAAGACTGTTGGTGAATAGGCGTAGATCGGTTAGAAAACATGTAAGCTTACGATTCTCAAAAATGCTTGTGTTAATATATGTTTAGTAGAGCTTAGGATTTTTGCTTTACGAGTTTTTATTATGTACGTTTTGCACATAATATTAGTTCATTTGTTTAACATATTTTATTCAGTCTGATCAGTTTACACATTTCATGATAGGTATTGTTTGAATTTCATCGTAGTGAATTATTATTATTATTATTATATTTTTTTTTAACTTTCATTGTGTACAATACACTGTAGTATATCGTATGTGTAATGTTTATTTTATATTTACTGATATTCGCCATAAGTCTGTAGTTAAGTCAACATTTATGTTTTTGTCTAATTAACCCTCAGACAAAATTTGATTTTTCATAACGGTATAATTTACAATATGTTGTACATATTGCAAATACAAAATTAACAAAAATATTTTTGACATTTTCTTGCAGTAAATTGCAAGTTTTTTTTTAAACTTACCATATTTTTGTACTTTTATTATGACATTATTATTATTATAAAAAACAAATTATACATATGTATGTATATAGAGGATGCCTCACAACGTTTTGACAAATTATACAAATGTCAAAACAGCGCGAGATGCTCCGTATACAACAGACCGACCATATTTTGCACAATTTCTGTGGAAATCTAATCGTACATAATATATAGTGTATAAAAACTGTGATTTATTTTTTGCTTGATAATTTTATGAATAAAATGAATTTAATGATTTAACATATTATGTGTAATTTTTATTCATTCTAAGAAAAACGGACACAAATTTGAAAATATTTTTTTAAGTATTATTGACACAGGCTAATGTGTTCAGCATCCATGGTTACTTTTATTATAGCTATTATTAATTTAGAAAAAAACAAACTGATAGTGATTTAGAATCTAAATTTTAGATAATTAGTGTTTGCATTAGAAAATTGGCTCCAGTTTCAATTTTTACCGCCAACATGAAAGAAATAATACAACTGCAAATAGGACAATGCGGAAATCAAATAGGAAACAATGTAAGTGCAGTGAAGTTACAGTGAAGAATATTTTGTTTTTGCAAATCGGTATATTATTTAGTTTTGGAAAACCATATCGGACGAGCATGGTGTTAACAGTTTGGGTCAGGTGTATGGATCGTCCGATGTGCAGTTGGATCGAATAAACGTTTACTACAGGGAGACGCCGAGTAAAACCATAGTAGTCGCATTTTAATAGATATATATATATATATTAAAATTTATGTTTTTTTAGGCAAGACATATGTACCCAGGGCAATGCTCATGGATTTGGAACCGGGAACGTTGGACTCGGTTGGTGGTGGATGTTGCAAGAGTATGTTTCGTCAGGAGAATTTCATTTGTGGAGTGACCGGAGCCGGAAACAATTGGGCCAAAGGGTACCAAGCTGGCGGAGTAGAGATGTTTAATCGCATTCTGAATACGATAAGGTGGACTGTGTTTGATGTGTACTTTTTTTATAAGCATTGTTAATGTTATAAGCAGTGGCGGTGCTGGAGATTTTTTATGAGTGGAGTAAATATTTTCCCAATAGGACATTTATTTTAAAATTCTCCTATGACAGGTAAGGGAAAACCAAATTTGAGTTATATATAATTTGAAATTACGTGTTTGTTAAGAATAACAAAGTGTTAATTTTGGTTGGATCTTTGAACTTATCTGGATTGGATTTCATATGATTCATAGACTCGAGGCTGAAAACTGTGATACTCTGCAAGGAATTCAAGTGGCGCACTCGTTAGGTGGAGGCACTGGGTCAGGTTTGGGTTCGCGTTTAATGCAAGGAATCCGCCAACTCTACCCGAAGCAATTGGTGTGTACGTTCAGCGTAGCGCCGTCACCGAAAGTGTCCGACACTATAGTGGAACCGTATAACGCCCTGCTTGCTATGGACAGGTTGATCCAGGATGCTCACATTGTGCATCTCATGGACAATAGTGCACTGTTCGACTCGTGCGTTGGACCGTTGAACTTGCCAACACCCACCTATGGTGACCTCAACCACCTGGTGTCGCAGACCATGTCAGGCGTGACGACGGGATTTAGGTTTGCGGGACTAGGGCGGCAGCAGCAGGTCAACGACGATATGAAAACGCTCACCACCAACCTGGTGCCGTTCCCAGAATTGCATTTTTTCACGTCTGGTTTGGCGCCACTCACGTACAGGACGCAGACCGTTTCGGCGGGTTTCCCTCCATGCGGTGTGCGCGACATAGTTGCGAGGTTAGCCGACGTCAAAAACCTGTCGGTGTCCTACGACGAAAGCCGTTACTTGACTGCCGCTGTAGTGTTCCGCGGCGACCGTGAACTGTGTCCTGATGAAATTGCCAAACACGTGCGCTGCGGAAATCTAGCCGAGTTTGTCGACTGGATACCGGACAACTTGAAAACGGCTGTTTACCCGGGTGTTCCGTCTCATGGTCTAAAGACTAGCGGCACGATAATGGCCAACAGTACGGCCGTTAAGGGAGTGTTCCAAAGGATCTTGGCCCAGTACTCGCTCATGATGAACCGAAGAGCGTTTTTACACTTGTACGCTGAACAAGGATTGGAAGTCAGCGATTTCCAACAGGCTGAAGAACATGTGCAGACACTCATAGCTGACTACTTGGAGTATGAGAACATGAACCATCAAGAAACAGCCAAGAACAGTTTTCATAATGATACTAAATTGATCAAACATAATTAAACAATTGTGAAAGATTTTATTTGACAATTTTTGAAAATAAAACATTTGAAATGCAAACTAGAATTAGAAATTGGTGACAAGTGCTTAGTGCAAGTCATATCTCGGTCGTGTCCTCAAACTAAAGTAAAACAAATTTATGAGATTTAAAAATTAAGTAATACTAAAAATTAAAAATTACATTACGGTTGTAGTTTGTTATGGTTACTTCTCACATCATAAGATTAAAATATATCGATGGAATACAGAAATTGATAGGAATAGCAAATAAATTTAACAATGTTTTTCGAGTGTGTTATCTAAATATAAAAAAAAACAGGCACTTTTTTCTTCTTCTATATATTATGTATTAAATGTATTTTGTTTTTTCATCATATATATCTATTTAAGTAATAAAAAAAATACAGGGCAAAAAATGTTAATAAATATTAAGTTATTTAAAAATATTACTTAAATAATTATTACCGAAATAAATATTAAGGGTAACTTACAAGATCATAATGAGGTGTATAATTATTAAGTAAATACTGAAGTTTAAAATATAATATAAACTATAGATTAATTGATAAAAACTAGAGCTAAATCCTAATAGATAATCTATTAATATATTACTTATACTAATAATAATTTAGCTCGATGTACAATTTAAATCCCAAATTTTACCAATATATAGATAAGTTTATATAAGATTATTAATTTTAAAGAATAATAATGTATTATTCTAATATAACCAAAAAAGGGTTTAAGGAAATAAAGTAGTCTGCAATTTTTCAAGGAACATAGACAATTAATTTACCTATTTAAAAATAATGTACAACAATAATTATTATGATAATTTGAAAGTCTTGTCATAACACCAAGATCAATAAGTAACAAGCTACATAGCTGCTCAAGATAGTACAAGCAAGTAACTTAACACCTTAACATACTGAGAGAAATTATAGCGTAAATTTGATTACAATTTATGTTTGTTCTCATAAAATTGAATTGGTTTAACTTTATCCTAACTGAACAATGCAATTATGGGTTTTCTTGTGGTACTTAAAGTGGCTGGAGCTGGTGAATGTTTTGTAGCAAATTTCGCATTTGAATGGTCTTTGGCCAGTATGAGTGCGGTAATGGACTACTAAACCACCTGAGCTTGAAAACAATTTATCACAAACATCGCATTTCAAAGTTTTTTTTTCACCAGTGTTCATGTGCGATTTTTGATGATATTTGAAATGGCTAGAGCTAGTGAATGATTTAAAACAAATCTCGCACTTAAACGGCCTGTCGCCAGTGTGCATCCTGTAGTGGACTGCCAATCCGCCGGAACTGGAGAACAGTTTGTTGCATACGTCACATTTTAACGTTTTCTTTGCGCTCACTCCCAAATGAGATTTTTGGTGGTACTTGCAGTGGCTGGAACTGGTAAAAGTTTTAAAACACAATTCACATTTAAATGGCCGATCACCGGTATGTGACCGATAGTGAACAGTTAGGCCGCCTGTGCTGGAAAACAGCTTATTGCATACATCACATTTCAGCGGTTTGGAGTCTTGCATAAAGTGCTGAGTTCTTTGGTGGTACAATATACCGTTGGCACAGGAATACTCTTTATTGCAAACTTGACATTTGAATGGTTTGTCTCCAGAGTGAACTCGCATGTGATAATTGTAGTGGCTCGAGTTGGAAAAAGACTTGCAACATGTATCACATTTAAACGGTTTATTGCCAGTATGGGTTCTATAGTGCACTGTTAATCCACCAGAACTGGTAAAACATTTTTTACATACATCACATTTAAAAGGCTTTGGTTTGGAATCTTCGCTTTTCTTATATTCCATTTCATCTAAACGCTTATTGTTATTTCGTTCTTTGTCGGCTTCTACCTTGGGAGTAATAAAATGGCTACCCAATAACGTTCCGTGACCGCTACTAAAATCAAAACTGTTTAAAAGTCATGTTAACATCTACATAAAATAATAACATTTTTTTAAAATTATTACTTACTGAGATGGTCGGAACAAATCGTTCCTACTAAATCTAAAGCCCATATTGTTAGAAATTGTTGTTTGACCAACTTCTATTTCGTTTTCAAGCAAGCTGTTATTGAATATCTCTCTGTCAAATCTAATCATCAACCGGCCATCCGAATTAAATTCATAAGCACTCCCTGGTATACCAAATGGAGGCATGTTACTAGAAAAAAAAAATATATATACTTTTCATTTTGTTATTAATATTATGTTATATTTAAAGTTAACGGAATTTAAAAATAAATTTAGTGAAATCAATTTTTAAAATAACACATAATATTTCAAATTAAATCTTAATTAATGATGTTTATAAGAAGTATTTAAATTTTAAGTACTTTTTAAAGTATTAACATTTAAACTGTTTTAATCACTTTGTATGAACAGTAGTTACAATAATTAAACTATTAAAAACAATCATTGGTATTATTTTAATAGTACATCAGACATTGTAAATTCATTTTGATTATGATAACGACAATGATAGTGGATGCAGTTTTTTTCTTCACATTAAGTAAGTCCATTAAATAGACATTTACTAAGATTTAAACAGTAATTATTGTCATATTATGTAATAGTTAGTTCTTATTAGTTCACCTTAGATTTGCCATAGTCGGAACCCGTTCTACTGGCAGGTTGTGTTTGACATTTTCTAGAACGCTGTGTTGGCTTTGAGATCGGTCCATTTGAGCAATGAATGTGCTGTGTGGGCCGATCAATGAAGTCTCATTACACAGTTAACTTTTATGTATCGTAAATGGAATCGGTAACCGACACACCGTAGTGTTATAAGTATGAAGTATTTAACATGAAAATAGTATAATTGTTACAACATAATAATTGTCGTTGCATGATTGATATAACGTAAACTAGACTATGCGAATAAAATATAATAAAAAGATAAAATTAATTTAAGAATAATTGAGCTTCTTATTTTTTGATTTAACATTACCTATACATTATCCTTGCAGGTATTTATCAAGAGTAAGCGTTTCAGAGACAGGTTCACAAAATATCATAATAAAATATAAACAATAATACACCGACTCGGAAGGATTGTGGTGATAAAAACATTGGAACAAAAAGTGTGGTTGTTAGTGTTACGAGACCGCAGCAGCTACAACCATAAACATAATCTGCTGATAACGTTGTAAAATCTAATCTGGAAAATATCAAGCAGTCAAAAATCGAAGTACTCAATACTCGTAAGTATACTTTAGAATTGTTATTTTTACCATTAATATTAAATTGTATTAACCGCACAATGAACCATTACGATTTATTATAATATGTATTGTCACTTGTGAAGACAGATTAATAACTTTAGTGACCGACAGATGTCTGCACTGTCGGTGATACTCTTAAACTTTTATTTTAACCAACGATAATAAGTATAATATAATACACATTATACACCTACGATCTTCACTGTTGTCGAAAAACTTTTTCGTTTGTACTTGGCAGTTGGTAGTGATATTATTTTCATATTAACAATTACTATACTTTTTTCATGACACAAAGTTATCCATACTTTGTGATCTATACAATAGATATTCATTAAAATCCCACTTGGGGATTAATCGTAATGTGGTCGAGGGGATTATTGGTTTGTAGAAATTAGGAACCTGAAAAACATACAACACAAAAATATTTTTAAAAGAATCCAAATGACGAGTAATTACTTGAAAGTTTATTTCCTTATCAAAATTGACAATCACATTTGATAACACATCACTGATTTGAGATTTCAGATTTGTAGAAACTAGAAATTGTTTTGCGTTTCCTAAAAAAAGTTGCCTCTAATGGCAATAGATCAAATTTGGACATTTTTATTTAAATAACCAATACAAGTTTGAAAATAATGAGTTATTTGAAGTAAAAAATGTATTTAGCGCATCAAAAACTTTTTAATTTACCGTTTCAAAACATATTTTATTTAAATACATTTTTTGTTTGACAGTTTCGAGTATATAACTAAATATTTATTTGATCTGGTCACTGACAGACTAACAATTATATTATCATTAAATTCAATTCAGTTCAATGTCACTTTTAATAATTGTTGCTACATGTTAATTTTTAAAAATATGTAACAGCCTCACGGTTAGGTTGGGTCCGTCCGTTTTATGTGTTTTTGATTGTTTTTTTAAACTATTATTAGTTATAGTCGGCTTGAAAATTAGGTTGATGTATTAAAGGTACAGTTTTAATTAATTTTTGTAAATTTTTTTTTTATATTATGTCGAATATTCAACAATGCGTTGTAGTTTGTACCGTTAGGTTAGGTTAGCTTATTGATTATCGTCGATGAAATACTGCATTCAAAAATGCATTACCTGGTCGTGCATTGTGTGCGATTTGAGAGACATTGTTGTAAGTGGTGGGAGTGAGTACCACAGAACGTTTCTGATACACATAGTGTAGTTAGCCGTTGTTGTGTGTGCGTTTTTTTTTTAATGTGGGAAAAGCATCGAGGATAGAATGTTATCTCATTGAAAATAATTTCATTGCCAGCCAGTTTGTCGCGACTCGTGGCTCAGTAACTGCTCGGCGGTCCGACGGTGTGTTTGCAAAATCAAAAAACTTTTCATCCTATCCGGAGAGCCAAAAAAAAAAAAAAAAAAATGCCAAACATCATCAACGAAGTCAAGTTGGACTTCAAAGACGTGCTACTCAGGCCCAAGAGGAGCACCCTCAAAACCCGGGCCGAAGTGAGTTCTTTTTTCCACTTAAACCGCTTAAAAAAAAAAAAACCTATTAATATTGAAATTTTTTTTATCCGCAAAATACTTAATATTGTGTAATATTGTTGTACTTATTTTTTTCGTCTTGTTTGCCCTATTAGGTGGATCTTTACCGGCACATAACTTTTCGCAATTCAAAACGTTCTTACCAAGGTATCCCGTTGATGGCGGCCAACATGGACACAGTGGGAACTTTTGAAATGGCCGCCGCATTGGGAAAGGTAAGACTCACAATTTTATGTTTAATTTCGTTGGCGTAACGTCAGCTGGTAGTAATCTTATGCTATAACAGCAGCTCCCAAAATCGAATCTTAAAATATTGAAAAAAAGGCGATTTTTTTAATTTTTCTGGATACGAATTTCAGTAAAAATAACTCGTATGAAATACAATTTTACATTAAATATATTCTAATATACCGATTATGTACACATTGCACGGCACGTACCTATTTAGCATCGATTACCGAGCTAATTTAATGTTTCTGTGTCACGGAAACTTCACTTGGTGCCTTTGACCCATTTACTTTTCGCGGCATTGAAAGATATGAGTAAATGACAGGAGCCATGATATTCTCAACCTCTTAAAGCGAGTAAAAATAGATTAAGGGGGAATGATAGTTTTCCTGGCAACCACACAAAACATAAATATTGCAAATATCAACGATTTAGTTTTAGAATTCCAAAATAATCATTAAATTTCGTTCCTTAAACATTATTGCAGATCAATTGCAAATCTGCACAATAATCATTACCCACGGTCGATCTGATATTATTTATCTGAGGTGTTTTAAAACATTTGGATATTATACTTGTATCCGTTTAGTTACACTTGTATCTACTGATATTTGTTTTAAATTCGTCTGATGCCTTTTGTTGTCAATGGTCGTTCCATCACATTTACAATAATTATATACAGTTACGTCAGTTAATAATTACCGACAGAAGCCGTTTACGATTATTACTCATCCATAAACGCTTGTAATATGCATACATCAGCCATATTTTCTGACCATAATAATGTGAACCCACATTTTTCGATAATAGTATTTAAATGCTCATTATCTTGGTGTCAAATGTATCAAACTATAGTTAATACAGTTAACGCTTTATTATATATAATAAAGCGCAGCTGTTCGTGTACAGTATTCAAACGATCTATAAAGCGATCGACCTCGATAATAATACCTGGAGTTTGGAAATAAAAATTTTGCCTCTGGAGTGTTTAGCCAATAAAATATATACGTTAGAAACAGCCAACAGGTAATATTTTAGGGTGGCCGACTCCAAATAATTAGGATGAAGGCGAATGAAAAGAAGAGAAATCAAGTAATACTTATAAAATTCTCAAAAATGAACCCTTGGCAGTTTCTTTATAATAATCAGCATACGTTGTCTCGGGACAACGTCGAAACACAAATATATTGTTAGTAATGTCTAGTGTAAATTTTACTTTTTAATTTAATGGTTCGTGTTTATGATATTTTTCGATAGATACTGTCCAATTATTACTAGAATATTGTTGTCATTAAAACCAGACGTTAGTACTTAATGTTGAGTTTAAAAGTTAATTTCCTTGTATACAGCGTGGTTTTTTTTTTAAAGTGAGCCACTCAACATCTCATAGGGTTTAATTAGTAATTACATTTTTTTCCCGTAATGTTTTTTATAAAATGTGACATTACTAACAATACATTCGACGTTGTCCCTAGACAACGTATGCTGAGTATTATAAAGAAACTGCCAAGGGTTCGTTTTTGGGAATTTTATAAATATTACCTGTTTTCTCTTCTTTTTATTCGCCTTCATCCTAATTATTTGGAGTCGGCCACCCTGAAATATTACCTGTTGGCTGTTTTCTAACGTATATATTTTATTGGCTAAACACTCCAGGGGCAAAATTTTTATTTTCAAACCCCAAGTATCAATATCGAGGTCGATCGCTTTACAGTGTACACGAACAGCTGCGCTTTATTATATATATGTATATTAAACTATAGTTAGTAAACTGTACAGGATCATTAAACACAAATCAAATCTATCATTTTACCTTAAGCAAACAAAAACCCTGAACCCTCTAGCCATAACCGTCTGTAGAAAATGTGTTTTAATTTATTTGATATTGTTACATTAATACAATTTCTATCGACTGGAGATAGAACATTTGACACCTCGATAATGAGCATTTAAATACTATTTAATATGTATGAACATTTTCAAAACTTCTTCAAAATTTTGAGAAACTATTATTATTATTATTATTATCACTGATTTATGGAGTTAATTTTGTTTAAGATGTTGTCTTTATAGTATAATAATCATACAATGACGTTGAATCTATAACGAAAATGCAGTCGCGCCAAATTGTCGCCGCCAATCCTTACATTGAGTATTCCTGTAGTTAAAACTTAATTAAATCCTATTTCGCTCTGATTTAGAACGGAACTTTCTTTGTAATAGCATTTGAATGATGCAACTTTTAGCAAAATGGTTATTATGTTTAAAAAAGAAACTATATTTGGCGCCGGTCTCTCATGTGTGACCTTCCACTTTATCGTCGACCTACACTAAAATCGAACATCATTTTATAATATTATTACTAAAAACAAAAGTTATGTATGAATAAAACTTAAGTACTTAATTATTAAAAGTATTTTTCTCGTGTAATAGAAAGCGCCGAGATCTACCTATTTTATCATTCGTCGTTTTTTTTTATGTTATAAAAACTGCGTTCAGTAATATAATATCGTTATATTATTGTCAATTTGTGCAATACATTAAAGTAAAATTAAAATTAAAAATTATTATTTTGATAAAATAGCTTTTACATTTTGCTCCAATTTATTTACAGATAAACCCATTTGACCTGTCCCTATTCCAATATGACTGTAGAATGTAGATTATTCTAATTTTTTACATTAAAAAATAAGTACTTACACAATAACATATTTTGACTAGATATAGAATATTCTAGTTGACTGTAATACATATTATTCGATTGTGATGAATCTGTAAGTCCGTAGGTCAATTTCATTATACGAGTAGCACATTTAACCGGTACCGAATCTTAATACCATTCAAACACTTTCAATAGTTAGAAAATATAGCAGTTGGTGTTGTAGTTTACAAATAAGAAATCTTTATCTTGCAAGGAAATCCAGAAAAAGAAAATCTGCATACTGCCCCTTTTTAATAATGGATGGTTGGTAGAGGATTTATTAGGAGGTAAAATCCAAGATTTATATAAGAATGAGGATATAGATTATACAAACATAATTATATATTATACAATATATCATTTTTAATACGAGTATATTATAATTATCCTAGTATATTATAATCTGAGGTAAAAATGTTCGTTGTGAATGATGTCAACTGCAAACAAATATTACAGCACGAACTACCGACTCTTATTCGGTCTTAAAATACATAGAATAAACAAATTGAAAACCAATATTTTTATGTTATATATATATATATTAAACATGAGTTTAAAGACTAAAAATCAAAATGCTTATTTTAACTCTTATAGATTCTTTGAACTAATAATGAAACAACAATCCCGCCATCATGTGATCGATCAAAATGCCCTTTGCGCGCACCACGTGTATACTGTTAGCTTTGTTTGTGTAGTTTTGTTACCGACAAACGTTCTATTTATTTACATGCAAACTTTGTTTTTTTATTATTATTATTATTTCCGGTTACAGTGTAAGTGGTAGCGGCTGCTCGTCACGTGTTCCACGCTCACAAAATATTTTCTGCTGTCTGATATAGAACAACCGATAAAGCCCAAAGGCAATCTTTGTAGAGCCTTATCCAGTTATTCAGTTTTTCCCCTCTAATAATGATTATTTATTAAATACTTTTACTAGAATCTGTGAATTGTGCGAAAAATCACTGATCAGTAACAGTTATTGGTGCATACAAATTGTAGCATGAACTTTAAAGTTTTGATAATATTATAGCAATTCATTTTGAACGCATTATATAAGAAACGAATTGCGTTGTATAGCCACTGAATGAACTAACAGCATTTCAAACCTATTGGTTGATAATTTTCCATAGGGTTTCGAAACGATTCTAAATTTTAGGTTTTAAGTAGAAAAACGTTTTTTGAATTTATCGTGCTTAGGCAGATACGTATTTAAATTTTTGACATCTTGGAGCAGTGTTCTTTTTAGCGCCCTTACTTAAGAACAACTGTGAACTGAGGTATGGGATGGTTTTTAAAAAAAATCATTTTTACCCATGTTTTCTTGTATTTCTGTTTTTTTTTTGTTTAAACTAATACTCGCATCATATTTTGCTGATCACCTCGTGCCTGATAGATTTTCTGATTGAGCTAAATTTATTTTCGGTATTTTCTATCTATAAGTACAATCACTGAAAAATATATCGATATTTTGAAGCAGATTAAAAAGTTCAGAGGGACATTTCTAAAACAGTCTACAGCACACTTTCCATTTTAATTTAGACAGCGTATTGAACATTCAACATGGTACAAAATTTGTAGCTAAAGGACAAACTTGTTTTATGCGAGCTTATAATCCAGAATAAATACCAGACATAACCAGATTTTGATTCAAGGAAAGAAATCTAGATAATAAACTTCGAAGAACGGCTATCGCTTATCCATAGAAATCGTTTAAGGCCTCGGTTATCATTTTGTGAGGAACTATTACAGCTAATGATATCAACAATATAAATAGTAAATATTTACTATTAGTCATTCTACAATTATTATTGAGAAATGTGAACTACGAACCACAACAGTACAACACGACGTGTAACTGATAATTATTTACATTTATAAATTATAGATTATCCGTTATTAATGTTACTGCTATTTTACAATGTTTTATTGTTATATAATAATTACTACATTTTAAAGCCCTCTTGAAATAGGGTCTAACCTAGCCCGGGTTTTTTTGTCTAGGTTTCGTACTTCTAGTATGGGTTTTATTTTCGCACTGGATTTATGGTGTGTATATATATATATATTATTACATAATTGTGACAAACTTGTTAACATTCTAACTATGATCATAGCGTTTAGAAATAGAATTTTGAAAATCAAAGTCCTGTAGGGCCCTGAAAGAAGCCTCTCTTTTTCGAACATAAAACGAATTATTGTGTCCGACTACCTACTTTAAGAGGTGTGAGAGTTTTTTTCACATGACATGTTCTTAATCATGTAAATCATGTAAAATCTTAATCTTGTCATCAAGTTTTTCTCGCGTTTTTCCTGTGTCCTGGCAAGGAATCTGATAATAATTATTCCTTACTTGAATTTTTTGTGTTGCCTATACTTAATATACTCTCTCTCTCTCTGAATGTTAATATAGTACTTTACTTAAATGTAACAATGTAATTAATGTGTTGTTAATGATTTTATTGTTGTTCATTACACGGAGGGCTCCCCAAAATACGCCACTGATTGTTGTACCTACGTCGTAAATTAATTTGATGTAATTATTTTTATTTAACAGTTAAATTGCAAATATATTTTGTCTTGTTTTATAGCACGGAGTTTTCACAACGGTGCACAAGTATTATGACGCAGACGAATGGGTCGAGTTTGCTACCAAAAACCCAGATGCGTTGCCGCACGTTGCGGTTAGCTGCGGTATAAGCGACGCTGATTTTCAGAAGCTGGAAAAAATTTTGGCCGTGGTTCCAGGTGTTACGTTCATTTGCCTAGACGTGGCCAACGGTTATACACAGCAGTTCATCGACATAGTACGAAAAACCCGTAACGCATATCCACAGCACACAATCATCGTGAGTGCATATAATAATTACAGAAAACAACTGATGAATGATGCATATTATGATTTTATAAATGGGTATGTATAACTGTTTTGTTACCAGGCTGGTAATGTGGTTACCGGTGAAATGGTCGAAGAGCTGATCTTGTCTGGCGCCGACATCATTAAAGTCGGCATTGGTCCCGGGTCTGTGTGCACTACTCGTATCAAGACCGGCGTGGGGTATCCTCAGTTAAGTGCGGTTCTCGAGTGTGCCGATGCTGCCCACGGTCTTCAAGGACACATCATATCTGTATGTATACTATGCTGATTTTGAGCATAATTGTATAATCACTGTTTGATTTGTGAAAAAAATATTTGGAGTACTCTAGTATTCTATAAAAAAAAAAAAGAGTATACTCTGCAGTCATCTATACTATTAATGTTTATCATAAGTCTTAACGTAGAGTGCTACTTTCCCGCATTCTCTTAGTGTTATATTCCAGTTAACTATTGGATAGATACTATGAAATAACTTTTTAGCTAAAATCTTGTATTCATTATCAGTTCTCTTCAGCAAAATACAAATAAAACTTCTAAAAATGTATTTATCAAACAAATTTTAGTACTTTTAATTCGTTGAAGTCCTTAATACGCCACGCAATGAGGCGGACAATTAAAGGATCAATATAAAGCAATGTGTCGACTTCTATTCTCTTTATAAAACCTAATATTTCCAAGGCTTTTCCACAAATAGAATTGATATTATGTAGATTTAGAATTGAGACGACAACTAAATATAAAACCCCTAGGTCTGTTACAGAATAGCCAGAAGGGCGAATTTTATAACATTAATTTTGATAAGATGTTTTTTAAATTGTTATCCATAAAGGAATTAATAATACTCTACCTAGTGCTATCCAGTTTATAAGGTAGATTAAGGACAAATGATCGAATGATATCTATTTAACTAACGATATTTTCTATTAATAATTAATTAAATGTTTTTTTCCTCTCAAAAAATAGGACGGCGGTTGTGTTTGTCCTGGCGATGTGGCCAAAGCATTTGGCGCCGGTGCTGATTTTGTAATGCTTGGTGGAATGTTGGCTGGACACGATGAGAGTGGAGGAGAACTGACTATCAAGCCTGACGGTACAAAGTGCAAGTTGTTTTATGGCATGAGCTCGCTAACGGCAATGAAAAAACACGCTGGCGGCAAAGCAGAATATAGGTATGTTTTTTTTTAGTAAAACGATAAAAACATTTTTTGAAAAATTGTTTTTCTTATGACAATTATTTTTTTAGAGCGGCCGAAGGCAAAGCCGTGGAAGTCCCATACAGGGGCGATGTCAATAACACTATTCTTGACATACTTGGCGGTCTTCGATCGGCTTGCACGTACACGGGTGCCCACAAACTCAAAGAACTACCGAGACGTGCCACGTTTATCAGATGTACGCAACAAGTCAATGCGGTTTACTCTACAAATACTGCATCGAAAGAATAATGGAACCTTATTTGTTATATAGGTTATAAAACGCACTTATATATTTTTTCTAAGCGACTTTGATCGAATACAAGACTGCTCTGTCAAATTCATTTTTAGTATACATACAATTATTATTTTTAGCAATAATGTTTTATTATATATTACGGTTTTACTCATTAAGTAACGCGTGTCGATGCATCTGGTGCTAAAAAACAAAAACTGTTTCAGTAGATTACGTTGGTGTTTTAAATATTAATTTTTATAAATCCTTACAGATGCTGAATTGTTCAATGAAAATGTCAACATTTGTTTGTTTTATATTTTAAAAATAACATGGTAGCGCTTACTTAAAATCGGTCAAGATATATCTACTTCGAAAATGAATTGTACCGCTTTATTATGTTATGTTAGATTTGAACTGTGATGTGTAAACTTTATGTTTATTTATTTTAGTACATTTTAATTATATAGTAATTTTATTGAAAAAGAGTGTCTCACTTTGAATTATCATTTATCTGCCTCTTTCAAAGTTTAGTGCAAAACATTAGACAGGAACGACACATTGCAGATTAAACTCAGTTGTGTTTTACATAGTTTTTTTTATAAAATATATGATTTTTAATTTTTCTAATTCTCAATTTTATAACACAATTATAAGTTTGAAAATGGAATTATTACATATTTAATATAAACAGAGTGATTTAAATTTTACTTTTATCTTTTTTTTATTTACAAAATAATTAGTTTAGGAAAAAAAATTTCTAAGTATTAAATTTATTACATTAATAAAGTAAGAATATTAACCTACTTAAAAGTAATAAAACCGATCTTTGTGACTATGTATTTTACCTACAATTGAACACGTGTAATGCCCTCTTAGTAAGCGTAATTTTAGATAATAACTCATGATGTATTTATTCAAACTGTTTATCGATCAAAAATTGTAGTATTCTGATTTTAATAGTATTAATACAAACTATTAAAATTAGAATACTACAATTCTGCTTTTAATTGTTTGTATAACAATACAAAATATTTATTTATAACGTGTAGGTAATGCATTTTAAAATTGTTCTAATCAAGTGACAATTATTAGAATAATTTTTAAACTTTATATGAAAAATATTACAGTTTAAAAATATTATTTGCCTATTTTAGATAATTGGCCTGGGAGTGTCTATTAAATGGACTTAATAATTGGCTGAAATTCAATTATTATTCGGTTATTTATTAAGGAGCCTCTACAAGCATTTATTAGGGCACATTGTATAGGAATTTTTTAACTAAAATTTAACATTTGTAAACTCGTAAAAAGGAAAGAGGTATCTATTGTTTTTAGAACATTTCAATTTTTTCATTGTTTTTTAATTTTGATAAAACATATTTTGAATTCTTCATAACATAATATGCAAGGTATCAATTGTGGCACAATTTAAAAAAAAATTTTAGTTTGGTAATTAATAATTTTTATGAGAAAAATTGCAATTTTTAAAGTTTTTTTATGATTTGTTTCTAAATTTCTAGCTTTAGCTAGAAATCTAGATTTTTTTTTTATTAGGTTTTACAACTTGAACATTTTTTTTTTCGGATAATATACAAAATGTTATGTGACATATCTTTTGTAACCCAGTCACGTTTACTCTTCTCAAGATTATCCCGCTAAGTGCTATACCCGTAAAAACCACCCAACCCACCTTGGTAGTCATCAGACAACGTCCACACCAAGCCTTGCATACACACACCTATGTTCATTTTGAAAACTTCTTTATTTTGTTCAACTTATTACATTGTGTTGTCTTAGTTTATAATTATTAAAGTTATTTCTATTAGCTTTTCAAAGTTAATTTCTGTATTGCCTTATCCTGATTCGACTCAAGATCAACGGACGGCTGTTTCCACATTGACTACTCAACCTCAACCTTTTCACCGCAAGATGCCTTCAATTCAGTTGTAAGCATATTTGTTTTTTGTTTGTACTTAGGTAACCTCTTTGTTTTTTTTTTTGGGAGGAGGGGTGTTTCGTGTGTAGGTACAATCTTAACGCACTGGTAATTAAACCTTTATTGGTTTAATTTAACTTTTTTTACACTAAGTTGTATTATCATTACCTTTTACATTTCATTGGAAATAAACAATCAAACAAATGTTCACAATTTTGTTTTAGTAGTAAATTATCAAGTTTTGATTGTATTCGATTGTACTTTGGTTATTTTTATCGACAAAAAATACTTCTGGCGAGTTTGATTTTTTAACGTTTGCTAATGTACTTTTGGACTAACACTGAATAATAATTCGCGCACCTTTTGGTTGATACGTAGTAAGACCAATTTTTTTCTATGACCTATAAACTAACTAATAAACTTGTTTTATAGGAGCTTCGTGATTATCGACTTCGAATTTATGAATTTGAATCCTGAAAAAAAGGCACTAATGTCCGGAGCCATATCCAATTCGTTGGACAGATACGAGATAGGCAGTTCATCTAACGGAGCATCCTATAGTTATTAATAAGAGGGGGTTTACCTGACAAACTGAAAGATTACCCTAGATTCGTTGACGAGTGTAAACGAATTTTCGGTCAAACCCTTCACTCTACTAACACCAAACTATATCTCATATTTTCTCACAATTTTATGACAGTTTACATCTACCACTCAATAACTTAAACCCCGAATACATACAGTCTTACATTACGGACAGGGGGCTAGCTCCTTGTGTTGTATTGTGGAGTGGGTATACCGATAAAAGGATACTGACACAACTGGCGTTGACCAAATTTATCACTTCGATCGGATCGTTAGGAAACTTAAATACAAACAGTTGTGTATAGAACTAACACCAACGTTAACATAAATATATCATATATTATGTCTTATCATATTTGCTTTGGTAAAATTGTGTAGACCATTGAATTCTTCTCATTGTACAACTTGGGAAGGAATCGTTCGTAGGAACGCTTTATTGGATGTAGTAGGATTTAAACCCGAATTACGACAATTTTCTAAACGTTCTATTACCAGTACATACATAGCACACGTATTATACAATGTATGCGACGTTCTTTTCTCTGATATTAATTTTGGTCACGTAGAGACTATACATAGCGTGCTATAACGGAACATCATCAATTCGATGTGATAGATAAACAAAAAAAAAAAAATTATTTAATCAGGGATGACTTCTTTACAAACTTTAGCCAAAAATCTTAAAGATAATACTTACGAACTCTCTATGAAATTAGATTAGAATAATCAGAATTATTTTAATAATAATAATTAGAATAATTTTTACTGACTTGTACTGAAATCTAAATCACTAAGACCCGTATACAAGGTGTAGGATTAGTAAATATACTCATTAATTATTGTAAAGCGCAGTCAAGATGTGCTGATACCCAACATTATTAACGAAAATCTTGAGTACCTATGTAGATTATATTCCACAGACTAACATTAACAACACTAACTATATTGGTAAATTAAGCTTTTTAAATGTTAATACATTTTTGTCTGATCATGTAATAACTAACCGACTTAACGATATTAAAAAGATATCTGATCCTTTGTTAAGTATATACGATGAGTTAAATCAGAAAGACTTACAAGACAATGTAACGGTGAACACTCGCCGACACAACATGTTATTATATACAATTATTAGTACAATAATATTTGTAGAATGTATTTTGTAACGACCTATGTAACAAAACGCTTATCATTCATTAAATTTTCGTTCTGAGATTGTTACGTTATAGGCCAACCGTCAACGACGAAGCTGAACAATCACTTACCACATTGGATCATGTCATTCCCCAGACCTTTTATTGTTCTTATGTATATTATTGTGTCCGACTAATTAACTATTCATTGCGTTGTAAGATTAGTATTAAGTTAATTTAATTATAGTATTGACTAACTTTTGTAGTTAACTTTCTGTTCTGCCTTACCTCTCTCCCATCCTGAAAGGCTGCGGCATTACAGCGTAATATTCTAATCAGGATATATTAACACCTAATATTATTAATGTAAATAACATTTGTCACATATATATTATATATGTTACTAACATTAATTATACGGATAAGTTAAGTTTTTTAAATGTCAATAAATCGATAGTGGACAATGTAATGACTAACAAACTAAACAAATTAAAAAAGGTATCAGAACCATTGTTAAATAGGTACTAATTATTGTACCTAATTGACTTAACCATAGAAAATTGCAAGAGAATGTAATTGTTATTATAAATACTTATAGACATAACATGTTGTTATATATAATCTGTACAATAATAATTGTATTCTGTTTTATATACTTTGCGGCGACTCGTGTTGCAAAAATTTTACCGTGTGACCTAAAGTTTCGTATTAAGTCCGTTACTAGGTCAATCGCTAACGACAAAGCTGGGCATCCACTGTCTTCTTGGGAACCTGTCGTCCCCAATGAGGAAGACCTTCATTCCGACCAGCGCCAATAGCCTTGCGTACGCCTACGTTCATTTCCGACACCACTTTTGTTCATTGTCTTAGTTTATAGTTGTTAATGTTATTTCTATAAACTTTTCACAGTTAATTTCTGTACTGCCATATCCTGTGTTTCGACCGTCCAACGGCTCTACGCTTCATTTGTTAGGGTTCCTTGACAATGACACGTTATCTAAAGAATAAACTAGCGATTCACAATAGTATTACATAATATGAGGGTGACTTCATCGTTCAATACTAATGATTGATTAATCTGGTTTTTGCTTAATCTAAAATTATTATAAATGCAATAATAATAAAATCTATTGCAAAATCATAGCCTTTGTACGGAAATGATTGTTTACAATTATCACAATAGACCAGCAACAGACATTGCAATTATTTTTTGTACCTTATCAAATTTCATATTATGTTTCAACACAAAGACCGTAGTTAAAGAAAACCTTATGCGTTTTATTTTTATTGAAACTCTTGTAAAGCTTCTAAGGCTTTATTGTTCTAGGCCATTTGGTTCTCCAGAAGAAATTATTAATGGCATTTTATAATAAAATTATATAATGTACTATATAGAAAAAAACAGAAATAAATTATAACTTGCCGGAAAATGATTCTTAGTAAATAAAAGAAGACCTTAGAGTGTATGTCGTTACACTCGGCTGAAGTGAATACTCCTTACACTAATTATTTTAACTGAAGGACGTAGAACTTAGAAGAGTGAAAGGGAGAGATGGGAGACACGGAGGAGTGTCTTATATATAATTGAAACCCTGGTGTTAATATAATAATATTCATAAATACATTCCTAAGAAGGTGTTGTTTTTACAATCATGTGATTTTATCTTATATTATTTTTTGTTCTTTGATGGCCCAAAAATTTAAATTCGTCGTGAAGTTTACTTGAGACCGGGTTGAAGAAAAAAACGTTTGTAAACGTTATAAAATATATAATCAAATTTGGATGAGGCTGGACAATTCGAAATTGACAAAAGTGAAAAAACCGATCTCATCTAAACTTGCACACCAGCGATGTCACTCATGCATTGTCTGCAAAAATATCAATTATTTAAAGGGGTTTTTTGCAAAAAAAAGTAGATGATGATTTATTAAGGCGGCACCTTTATAAATACTAAACGGTAGCGCCTTTCTAGTATTTGCGCCCTAAGCAATTTTATATGCGGCCTTAACCGCAATCGGACTCGGTACGCACTCGTATAAATATTGTTTATTTTCTTCTAAAAACCAGTTTTATTGAGTAGCAATTAAATAATTTCAAGGCCATACAATCAATTGTCTATCGATTGCACGTGAATGTGGTTACTATCATTCAACGTATCCTAATGAACGGGTGTTTAAAGTAGTGTTCGTTTCAGTTACACCAAAAAAAAAAAAAAGTTGAAATACATTTTAATTGAATTTGTTTTATAGTTTTGTATAAATACACGCAAATAATGACTGAGAATAATGTAATGTATTAATAATAAATTTAATATTTATAAAGTTATTTTATTATTAAATTCATCAACAATCATTTAAACTGCAACGATATTGTTTTTAAATTATCATGCGAATAATTGAAAATTAGTAATTTATTTTTATATTTTTTCAGAAAATACGACTTAAAGATGCGCTGATGAGGAAGAAAATTTATTTGGACGGCGAAGAGGCGAGCAATGGAAAACTTAAAAGAACATTAAATTTGTTTGATTTAATATTTTTGGCCACTGGCGGTACATTGGGATCAGGAGTGTACGTATTGGCTGGAGTTGTGGCTAAAACATTTGCTGGACCCGCTGTAATATTATCATTTATTTTAGCTGCTATAGTTTCATCATTTGCAGGTAAGCACTATGTACAGTAATACTTCTTTTATTGTGGAGTGAAATCAAATAAGTGGTAGATACTCAACACAGAATGTGAGGAATATTAAAAGGCCTTTAATAAAAATAAAAAATTGTAAATAATTGTATGATCAATAACTATATTGGTTTCCTACCAAAAACATAACGATTTTATAAACATTTGTGAAATTTAGTTTAAAGTAATTCTGAGTGAAATATTATTAAAATATATCAATGCTGTGTCGGATATGGTATTATAACAACACCAAAGCGGTTTTTTTAGTAGCATACATACTAATTACTATGTCGATGGACAAAATTATAAATAATTATATTCTCGTGTCCTAAAATACACTTTAATTTGTTTTCTTTTAAATTTGTCTGAACAATTAAAAATAATAACAACTTAACGGTTATAATATGTTTTAGGTCTTTGTTACGCCGAGTTCGCCGGTCGAGTACCCAAAGCCGGGTCTGCGTACATTTATACATATGTAGCTGTGGGAGAATTTCCCGCTTTTATAATCGGTTGGAACTTAATAATAGAACACATTATAGGCGAGTAAAAGAATAATTAAAAACATATTGCAAACGCCGTTGAAATGTTTATACAGCGATTTTGTAATTTTACAGGGGTCGCGTCCATTGGCAAGGCTACAAGTAATTATTTCGACTCGCTACTTGGATATCCACAAAAAAAATTCATGCTGGAACACTTACCAATACACGTCAGTTTTTTGGGAGAATATCCGGATGTCGCGTCGTTTATATTCATAATGATGTTAACGAGTACAGTTATTTTATTAATTTTATTTAAAACGGAAATTAGCTAGTAGGGAGTTTTATAAAATGTACCAACGTAGCTACTGGTGGGCATCTTCGGATTACATTTGAACTTTAAAACACTTAATTAATAATTTCAGATTAATAATTATAATATATGGTTAACAAGGACAACATATATATATATATATATATTATTATAGACAGACGATCAACCCTAGTGCCTAATGGTAAACAATTATTGTCGGCCAATAACATAAAATAATAAGATGCCTTTTATTAATAAAAAATGTTTTTAAGACCCAAGACGTATAAATTACTCTTTCTAAAATTGTTTCGATAGCAGTAGCAAAAAAAAATGATCATCATACCAGTTATTTCAATGCTCAATAACCTGCACGTTTTTACATTAAAAGTCCATATTTATTTTTCTTTAAGTATTAAACTAAACGTTTTTAATAATAACACCCATATTTCAATCAATATATTTAAAAAAACTCTTTCTGGATCCACTGTGCCACGTGCCCAAATCGTTATCGCACCGCGCCCGGAAAATAAATAAGGTGGGGGCATCTTCGGATTGTATTTAACTTTAAAACACTTAATAACGTAAAATTCAATGTATAATATATAGATACACGTAACATCTATGGATTATTCAAATAATTATGTTTTTGAAACTTTAGTATTATATTAGTTCATGGTGATGATAAGTATAATAGATAATCTGAATTTATAGGTATGATGCTATAATGGTCACAAACCATTGAATGACATGCTATCATTCTGGTATTAAAATAATTTATTGACCACTTAAAACGCAACACTTGAATATTTTAAAGAACCGATAACGTTTTATGTCGAAGAACTTTTGCGTTCATAAAAAAAGGCTTTGCACTGTTCAAGGTTTGATTATAGCGAGAATTTGAAATAAGATATAGATATATATATATATGATATACATAGATAGCATAATATAATGATTTTACTCTGAAGACAATAATATGTACATATTTGATTTTATTTCGCGCTCTTGTAATTGTTTAAAAAAATTAAAATGTACACATAATTATAAATGTTTACTAAAAACGTACTGTTGTGATTAACATATGGGAAGAAATATTTTTTTTTTTCAGTAAAACCCAACATTAAATGTTGAAATTGACCCTAATGAGTAGCAATATTGTTACAGTGGTGGTAGCGTGGGGTGTTCGCGAATCAGCTTTGGCCAACAATATCCTGACGTCGTTAAATTTGCTGGTCATATTTACAGTTGTCGCCACAGGATGTTATTTTGGTATTGATGATGAACAACATTTGATTAATGATCTCTATGTATTGTACGAGGGTAATTTGCGAAACTCTTAACGTTTAAGCTGACCTATCCAACTGGAATGTTAAAAAGAGCGACATCCCTCCCGGCGTGAACGGCGGAGAAGGCGGATTCTTTCCCTTTGGATGGCCAGGAGTAATCGCCGGATCGGCCAAATGCTTTTATGGATTTATCGGTTTCGATACTATAGCAACAACCGGTGTGCACTGTCATGTTGCAATAGTTTTGTATGTCAATTATTTATTGTGATCTTTTCTTAAGGTGACGAAACGAAAAACCCAAAGAGAAATATCCCGTTGGCGCTCATTATTTCTCTGATAAGCATCACCACGGTGTACGTTTCAGTAGCTATTGTCATGACTCTGATGTGGCCGTACTACGACCAAGTATGATTTAATTTTGACTTGTTTTTGTTTTTTTTTTATTATTTTGATGACGCAAAATCCTTTTGATTCGATTCAGGACTCTAGTGCACCGTTGCCTATAATTTATGACCATTTGGGAATGCCCTTAATAAAATATTTCATTTCAGGAGGAGCAATATTCGCTTTGACTACCACGTGAGTTTTAATTAATATTGTACCGATTCATTGTCTTAATGTTTTTTTTTTTTTTTTAAAAGATTAATAGGTGCGATATTTCCATTGCCCAGAATTCTGTATGCCATGTCTTCCGACGGCTTACTATTCAAAATTCTGTCAAAAGTCAACAAAACTACCAAAACGCCTTTTATATCTTCAGTCATATGCGGAATTTTATCTGGTAGCTCCACTAATTCAACTTTATAACGAAAAAAACAATTTCAAATACGAATGTGAAATTTCAGGTTTCCTAGCGATCATATTCAATTTGGAGCAGCTCATCGATATGGCGTCCATTGGTACTTTTCAAGCTTACACAATTGTTTGTATATGTGTGCTCATGTTAAGGTATACCATACATGTTATTTCCTATACGAGTTAAATATTGCTTAAAAAATGGACATGATATAAATGTGCAAGCGTAAGAACTAAAATGTATTGAATTTATTTTATATAGCTTATATTTAGGTAGCATTGTGTTTATTGCTAGACAAGTAATTTTTTGTACACATCATACAATTTAACTTATTGTTTGTGTTTCTTCTTCGCTTGTCGGTCAGCTTCGAGTTTGCTAATTTTCAAAGCCATCTCACTGCTATAAGTGACTTTGATGATAGTTTCGTTTGGCGACGAGAAAAACATACACTACTCTTCTCATTCTCCCTCGCTTTTTAACAGGTTTAGGTTCTTTCATGTTCTAACTAAAAACATTATTGATCGGTTTTAATTCTTCTACGCCTCATTTTCGGATATTCCTATCAGATAAGTTCTCGGTAGAAAAACTGTCTATTGTCCTTGTCTATGCATGTCTTTGTTAACTCGATTCCTTTTTTTTACAATATTATATTTTTTACCATCGGCCTATCGGTGTTTCTATTTTTGCGAACAGAATGCACAAATTAGTTTTTGGTTTATAGTATCAACATTTTCTATTCTGTATCTCGTTATGAAAAAAATATCTCATTCACTAAAATTAAATGAAAAGTTTTTTTGTTATTCGTGATTTGAGCAATTTTTTTTTTTTTTTGTAATAAAATATTTTTCAAGTCTCGAGATTACAAATATCATTAAAACTAATACATTATGACGTATGTGTAAACTAATAATACCAATAAATTAGTATTATGTTAAGTATACCTAATTGCTTTGAAATCGTTCTAGGTATAAAGATAATAGTGAATCTAAGGAACCAATAAATATTAACTGGCGTAATGCTCTTAAGTTATGTTGTAATTTATCGAATGTAAAAGTTCCGAATTCGTATACCCAATATTTTGCAAGAGCATTTATATTTATTTTTGGTAAGTAAATACATACCATTCAATATATATATATATATATATATGTATATTATTTGTATTCATACAAATTATGCGTTCAATAGAGTTATAACTTATAGAAAACGTTTTTCGGTTAATATTCAATTAACAATTTATATATTAATATAATGTAAAAAAAATGAATTATTTGTTTTTCTTGTTTCAGTATGTGCAACATGCATTTTATCTTTTAGTTTGATGAATTTGGACACGTATCAAAGCATCAGATATATTTTAGTCGCAACAAGCCTAATTTCAGCTATAGTATTATTATTAACGTTACTACTGTTTAGTAGACTACCTAAAGTAACTGAAAGTATATACTTTAAGGTTTGTATTAGTATATTATACATACTATTATGGTTTTATAGCTTTTAAAACAATATTATCTAGAAGGTCACCTAAAAACCCGAGTGTAATTAAATTGGCTATTTTTTCGCCTTAAATTCACTATCACTGTCACGAAACTAAATAACATAATACATTATATATAAAAGGAATTTTATAATATTTTTAGGTACCTTGTGTTCCACTTATACCGTGCTTGAGTATATTTTTGAATATTTATTTAATGATGGTGTTGGACTACAAGACTTGGATACGATTCTTTGTATGGATAGCTTTAGGTGAGTAACACTACCAAATTTAAATATTATAAAAACGAACTACACCCACAAATTGCTAACGAAAAAACTGATTTATTTAATAGATAATAAAAGCTAATCAGTGTATTGTGCATTTTCCAGGATTACTAATATACTCGTTTTATGGAATTAATCACAGCTTGGAAGCAATTAAAAGGAAAGAACTGAACGAAAATAGGCAAACTAAACTGTGATCACTGTTGTCTTGTATATATGTATATACTACTAAAATATAAATATAAATAAGATAATAATTTTTACCAAATTTTTATGCTAATCATTTGGATTGACAAATTGTATTTTTTCATCGCTGATAAAACATTATAACTAACGATTAACGAGTAATTGCGCCAAAACACGCCCATAAAAATTACATTTCATTTTTTTACCATGTAATGATTATATAAACATTTTTGAAGAAAACAGACAGCCAAAATAAACACCTAGACATTGAAGGGTATAGTTTTAGAAGGTTGCATGTATTCAAATACTAGGACTCAAAAGTTTTAAGTAAACACATCAAGATGGTACATAAGATGGTACTTAAGTATCCAATATGACTATAACAGGTCCTCAACGAAGAGATCTTTGAAGTAATATGTACATTTTTTCATAAAATTAACATATTAAAAAAATTATAAAAACTTTAAATGTTGTTAAAAAATAACCATTGATGTTGAAGCCTTTGGCCCTTTATAATAAATAAAAAAAAATGTTAAATTTAATTTCATGGAGTGGCCAATGGTTGATATTTATTATACATACAGATTTAAAATTAATCCCATCTAGTGTCTTTTTTTATTATTATTTCACAAATATATGTTGTTTTCAAATGTCGCTGATGTTAAGGGAATTGAAAGCGATCTGTTTTTTACCAAAAAACCTGTCAAAATACTTAGGATGGTCCGATTTCAATTCTATAAGTTTTTGGGCTACTTTACCAGGTTATGAAGGAAACGGATTTTTGGTTTTTATGTAAACAATGTGTTTTTTAATTAATTTAATTACAAGAAATTGAATTTTTTCAATTAAAATCGGTTTCCTGCATAACCTAATAAAGTATGTCAAAGACCTCAAATCACTTTACATAAGTTAAATCGTTCTAAAATACCACCAAATTTACTCATTGAAAAAATTGTACAAGTTAAAAATAATACTTTGAAACTTTTACAAATTAATTTGTTAATAAATTGACATGGTCAAAATGCATTTAAACCAATTTTTTTCTTAATTATTGCCTATATAAAACCCCTTTAAAACCCGTCCGCTTTCAGTCCTCTCGATAAAGAATAATATATGTAGATAATATTTAATAATTAGATAACATAATCAGCATGAAATGCTTTTTCTTTAAAAAATGTTTTTGTGATAAAAAGGGTAACTTAACCTAACCTAAATGTGTTATAAAAACAAACTGTTTTAGGTAATCGTAGTGGCCGACTATACCTTCATATAACTCCACAAAACGTTTGCAAAGAGTTGGCCGATTTCACATAGCATAGTGTTACTGATATATTTTAAATAGTAGTTCACAAATAAAATGATTTATACAGTTTTAATGTAGTGTTAATTTGTATTTAACATCTGTTACATAACTATTTTAATATAGGTACTACATCATCTAGCCTTAACACGATGAAACGACTGTAGCAACTATTATTGCGTTATCATTTGTCTTAAATAATTTCTTAAAACATTATGACAAACATTAAAACACGATGCATAGTGTGCGTTCATCCGGCTTATAACAACAATATAATCGTGATAGGTGCACATAATAAAGATTTGGTAATTGTTGGTATTATTATTTTGGTGAATGATAAGTGTCTCATTATGTGTCCGTCGGTAGCGACTGTGTTATTAATTAATATCATTGCTGATAAATCTATTAACGATATTTTGAAAAAGAATATAACAAAAAAAAATAATAATAGTAATAATGAATCGTAATCGCAGAATCTCAACTGTGCAAATTTAACATGTGATTATCAAGAGATTGTCCTTATCACACATTAAGTAACGGTCGTCCATCATTGGGCAACGAAACGAGAAGACAATGTGGTTGCTTAACAAACGAGCATGGTAGAAAAAACCTAAATTTCGCCATTATATTTTCTAAATCATCCGTAAATTGTGCGACTGATTATCGGCTATTGTATTGACTTATACACAATATAAAAATAAACACTGATACTGCTTGTGTCTTAAACCGTAAATTATACTTTGTATGCGCTTAACAAGCATACCCACTGACCAGCGTGCACCTATTTTATTGGACGTTGGAGGTCACCTTTTAAACGTGGCAGTTTTTGAATTTCGTACCTAGATAATACTCGAAAACATTGATCTAGCTACCTAGGCAACCTTTGCTCAGATAATTTTATGATTTGCAGTTGTTCGCTGTCAAAATCAATGTGTTGGCTATTAAATAATTTTTAAGACTGTGAATTGGAAGACAGGCATTAAAAACGTTGCCAAGCCAAATTTTACATGAATTGGATTTAACAAAATTATGTAAAAACTTTCTTTTGATTTTGTTCCCAGCTTTGAATTGCAAAATTGTTCACATTTTTACAGTTTGACCAATCTTATAAGCTGCTATTTGTATATATGTCTACCTTGTCCTTATCCACCTTATCCTTGTCTTTGACATTTTAAACCGCCATTGTATTAAAATTGTTTTGAATCAATTTTTTTTTTTAATTTAAATATATATTCCTGTTTAAATTGTATTTGTTTTGCCAAATTTAGTCAATTCATTAAAATTAAACAAATGTTTTACAAGACCATATAAATTATATGATATAACCACGTTTACTTGGAAACAAACTTATAAATCCATGACCGACTTCAAATTTTTTTTTTTATTATTAACGAATATATCGAAAAAGAACATTATTTATTTACTCTAAATTAACATAATGGTAAATTCGACTTCACAAAATATAATATTGCACTGTATATAAATTTAATTCTCGTTAACATTGACCTGAAAAACGTAATGAAAATATTTTTATTCCGTAAATATTGTTACGGGAATAGTGTTTTAATTTTTAAATTTATTAAATGGTATTTTATTACAACTGTGACCTTTTTGGAGTTTATTTTAAATATTCAAAACTTTAAAAAATGTGAAAGGTCTGATATTAGGCATTTAGTATTTTTTAATTATTTTAAAAAAAAGTAAAACTTTTGTGATATTATCTTAAAAGAATTGTTACTATTGGACCATGTATTAAAATTTTGGAAAACTACTTTTCTATCCATAATCAAAATTATAATTTGCTAAAACGTTATATTATTAAATAATGAACAATGGAAAAATACAAATTAAACATGTTGAAATTCTGTGTACAACCAGTATGCTATTATCGCTTAATCCAAATTATTGTTCATTTTTAAAGATCTTTAAAAAATATGGATTTTTGTACAATAATGATGTGTTAAAAATAATGGCTGGTCGATAACCAGTTTTAAATTATTCATTTCTAATTCACAGGCGGTTATATAGCTCATTTATATAGTGTTTACTATGTAAGCTTTCGACCTTGATCCTAAAGACTAACTATTTGTGTGTTGGCCCAGTCTTGATTTGTTGGCCTTCCACCGTTGATTCGACCCTGCTTATAGCTATGTTTTAGTTTCAAAATATCAGCAAAACCGAAACGATTCAAAGCACATCAATACACCAAGTGTCCGAGGCTGTGGCGTTTTTATCACCGAACAATTCCAACAATTACCGTTGACTTGTTTTCACGCAGGTTAGTCGTGTAAGTATATTAACCAAATCGAATACCGTTCACACAATGTTATTATATTCGGTTGTTTCTCCTATTCGCCGACAACATGGTCACTTATCCACAGACATCAGATGGTTGTATAATAGCTGTGTCCTCCTACCGACGGATTATTATGGTCTATAGCTGCTGCATTGAATATTTTAATGTTTTTGCAACTGAATCCGGCACTCTCGCAATAACATGACATATATTGTCATGCAAGACGTCAGTCGCTGTTGAACGTCTTCGGTTGTAATACTATGTTTGCTTACTTTTTACAACCAAAAACATTGATAACCGTTTTTATTGTTCATAAATAATATTATATTGCCTACAATTAGCGACTTTGACACTCAGTCGCAATGTGGGTCTGAAATTTTTATCCACAGTTCGATCCAAACAAACATTCTAGTTCACAGTGTCACTATAATTACAACCGGACAAAATATTATGGAAACCCCTTGGTGGAAATCCGTAAGTAACTAAAACATTGCGAATACATTACAATATACCTAATATATTTTCATTAGGTAAAATATTTTCTTAAAATAATGTGAATTGTTGTAATGTCTAAAATTACATATATTATAATAAAATTAAAATAATAATAAACTAAGAAAATACCATTACACACGTTCATTATGTTGGTGGTAAAATAAGTAATTTCTATAGAGGCCTCTACACTATAATTGATGAAGGCGCACTGTATAGGCAATTTTTCACTAAAACTTAACATTAAGCTAAAATTTTTAAACGTACATATTACCATAGAAAAGAAGATTATATTTTGATAATTCATTTTTTTTCCAATTTTTAAAACGCATATAGGGTCTATTTTTGTACAACAACATATGTTTTTTACTTCGAAACTAAAAAATACTCCGACTTAAGTTTTGAAAAAACAATTTCTAAGTATCGATCGTGGCACAATTTAAAAAATATTTTTAGCTTATTATTTATTTCAACGTAAAATACTGCAGTTATTAACTTTTTTAAACTAAACAATTAATTAACACACAATAATTTTAGAATTATGCTACGATTGATGTCTTGAATATGTTAAGAATACTTTAAATATTTTTCAACTTAAATAGGAGTATACTTAGGAACAGTAGAACCATATTATTTTTGAAAAAATCAAAATACACTTACATCATATGCCATTTTCCTAATAAATAAACATCACACCATTGTAGTACTAGCTTTGAATAGAAATTCATCGACAATTTACCATACCGAATAATAAATGGGTTTGGACCGTCTTGACCGAGTATTGTTTTTTTATAAAATGAATGCCGTTGTTCCAACATAATCCTAATCCATCATTTTAAAAGTCAAATAATTAATTTTATGGAAGTATAATAATAATGAAAGTATAATAGTGTTGACTAAATTTTTATGTCATTCAAATGCGTTATTGCCTTAAGAAATAATATGTGGGTCCTGAACCAAAGATGTATCTATGAATCACAAACCGTTCACTGAAGTTACTTTATACGTCTAAAAGTTGAAGAAGTTTACACCTTTCCTTTCAATATCGAAAACTTCTCAATATTTTCATATTTTTCAAGCAATCGAGTAAAAGCCGAATTTTCTAACGATATGCTTTAAAATATGTCTACCGTAGTACAAACTGCTCTCGAAGAACGAACAACAAATTATTATTTCTTTGCCGTAGAAGGGATGTATTGAGCTGTTTCTATTTCTAGAATCTATTTCTTCTCTGGTGTGGGATTTTTGGATTTTAGGTTTAAAAAATAGACTGAGAAAAGATGTTGTGTGTAATACATGTTTAATTTTTCAAATAATCTGTACATAGTCAATTTTCGAATATCACGATCGGCTTTTAAGGAAAATATTTTTGTCATTTATAGTTATAATTTATTTTATGAATGATTTTTACAGACACTTTTATTATTTAAAATTGTACTTCATACAGGTTTGTATGGCGTATGCCTGATATTGTAGGTTAAATTAGTGCTTTTTTAATTTATTAACCGTGAATTCTGCGAAAAGCGCTAAAACATGAGAAGAATATTCACAGCTTTTAACTAACATTACAAGAATTTCATACCATTGTTTAAAAAGGATATTATGCAGATATCCAATATATTTGTTGATTAGTTTTTTTGTTCAATGAATTCTCACAAAGTTATAACGTATGACTTTTGAGTTTAGAACTGTTAATACCAATATTAGTTGGTATCTTGTGACAATGCACTGAACGTAAGACTTCATAGGAATGTCATATTTAAAAATCTATAATACAAAAAGATATAATAATATAAAGAAGTATAAATATGGGTAAAAACGGACGAATTTTTGTAGTACCAAAAAAACACAAAAAAAGAGGTGAAAATTCATAGAAAAGCCGTAAAAAGGACCACAGTAATCAAAATAGTTAAAATAATTATGTGTAAAAATAAGATAATTTCCCGTTTTTTCGACTTTTCTATGATTTTAAACTCTTTGTTTTGTTTTTCTAAGCGTTTTTTATGAAGAACCCAATTTAAAATTTGCAAATTTGATATTACATTTTCTCAACTTTCTAAAAAAGAAAAATAAACGTTTTAAATTTTGGGCAACACAAAAAACACCGACTTTTTATATAATAAATTCAATTATTATAATAACTTTCTGTTACTCGAAGAAAATATAAATATTTTTTCAGAAAGCTGAGATTATATTAGATAAGAAACTGATTTTTAACATATATTTTTTTTATGTTTGAAGATACTAGAAAAAAACAATAATAACAAAAAAAGAGTAAAGAAAAAAACTAAAAACACTTTGTATTATAATTATGACCAAAATAATCGAAAAAAAAATTTTAGAACATTGTTTTTATCGTAACAGATATGCAGGGTAAGTTTCAAAAAGTTCCTGGGGGGGGGGGGTGCTCCAATAGATTGTTCGTATTTGGCATAAATTGTATTAACAATGATATACAAGTGCCAAGATAATATTATTAAGGCGTTGAAACTCGAAATAGTGGAAGGATAACAATAGTAATAGACTTATAATAGCTATAACTCATCTAGAAATGTTGATATGTCATCTGAATGTGCAGATGGTAACTGCGATCGGCTGTTAGGTTTTTGTTAGCTCTGGTGTTGGTGTATGTTTGGTTGGAGGAAACGGCGTTTTGTCATTACTCATTAATGATGAATCATCAACAGAAATGGATGTTGTATTAGAAGTAATGTAAAATGATGTAGTCTTTTCGGATACTATCTGGGTTTTGTAAGCTAAACATAACGCGCGATTTACCGTTGTGAATTTTGGATTTAAAGTGTTTTTGTCTTCTAATCTTTTTTCTTAATCTATCATAAGTACGATATGCATAAACAGTAGATTCTCGTCACTCTGCAGTCTAATGTTCAGCTCTTGGATCTTATCTATTTATGGCCTCATGTCTCATGCTTGCAACAGAAATGTAGTAAAATGTAGATGCAATAAACAAGTGCATGTGACACTATTGGGTTTTTTACTTCAAAGTGGTCATAATATGCACGTGATTCGTTTACGAGGGTAAAGTTTCAATAAAGCTGTCGATTGAGAAACCTTTATGTTTTTATTGCATTTTCAACAAGTGTGTGTGTGTGTGTATTGAAGAAATATAAAAAAAATATTTGCCTACTTTCTTTTAGTTATACTGTTGGTCATAAACCATAGATACCCTAGCACAAAGATAAGTACAATCTAAATATAAAGATCTATTACACTCTACTTTATTTCGTACTTATGACTGTACTTATTACTACTTTATGACTGGAATAACACTAAGTTTAAATATTTTATATTGTACCTAAATATAATGTGCAGACTGTGCAGATATTAAAAAATACGTCAACTTAAAGTACATTTATTGACTTTCGGGATTACAGGCTTATAAAGTATCCCACTCATCCCATATAAAACAATATGACATATGATTAACTCTTCTTCTACCTAGCCTCTTTTCCCATTGAAGTCAGCCACCCTAGACTCGGTATCTTACATCGTCTACACGTCATACTTGTTGGCCTTCTTCTACCTTGTTTACTTTTGCATTTATTTTTATTACCGCTATTACTTCTCCGTTTCTTCTTTAATTTTCACTGTCATACCACCTACCGCTTAACACTTTATCCGGTTATACGTAGCTGGATTTTAGCATTTATTTTCATCGTACGAATATTATTGTTAATATGTGTAGAAAAAAAAATTGACATGGGCGCTAACAAGAAAGAAAACCGATGAAGAAGAACAAGGAGTTGATAAGTTAAAACGTGTGTTGACTTTCGTTGATCTCACCGCACTTAGTACCGGCGCCACTTTAGGATGTGGTGTGTATGTGCTAGCTGGTGCTGTGGCTAAATCGATTGCTGGGCCAGCTGTTGTATTATCTTTCGCCATTGCTGCAGTTGTTTCTGCATTTTCTGGTGATCACTATAAGCAAGGTTTTAAGGTAAATCGTCAACATTTAATATAATTACAATTATTCTCATAGGACTCTGTTATGCTGAGTTTGCCGGCCGAGTTCCCAAAGCCGGAAGTGCATATATCTACAGTTATGTGGCTGTCGGTGAATTTACCGCATTTGTCATCGGTTGGAATTTATTGATTGAACATCTTATAGGTAAAACTAAAACCAGTTTTTTGTCCATATTATACTTATTACTGTTTAAATTCCTATGACATTTGCACGCTGTCATAATTTACTTTAAAATTAAGTTTTGAAAATATTTAATATTGACAAGTGTACCGTTATTTTTCAAATGCAAAGTAACCTCAATATTATGTTTCAGTTTTTATATTAAAAAAAAATTAATTTATTATCGCTTTTAGTAAATTGATCATGCCTGTTTCATAATTAGGTGCTGCGGCTGTGGCCAAATCAATGAGTAACTATGTTGATTCTTTGCTGGGTAGCCCACAACAGAAATATATGACAGAACACTTTCCAATCCATGTAAGCTTTTTGGCCAGTTACCCTGACGCTGCGTCCTTTGTAGTCATTATGACTATTACATGTAAGAAAACAAATTTAATTTACATAAAAACGTATTACAACTTGCATTCTTATTTAATTGCTGATAAAAAATACTATAAATTATATTATGAAGTGATGAAAACCGAAAATGTACAGGTGACAATTTTTTGATCAAAAGACATGTGGTAGTGAATACTTATTTTTGGTTCATGATTTCTAATCATATAAAAAAATTTGAATAACGATAATAAAAATGTAGTTTTTTTCTAGTGCTAGTAGCTTGGGGAGTCAGAGAATCGACATCTACAAATAATATATTTACAATACTCAATTTGTCCACTGTGACTGTTGTAATCGTAACAGGATTTCTAAAAGGTAACGACACTAGTGAAATAATGGAGTTTCACTTTCACACATTAAATGTTTTATTCTAATATTTAGCGAACTACTCAAATTGGGCAATTCCAAAAAGCGAAATTCCTTCAAATATGGACGGAGGCGAAGGCGGATTTTTACCATTTGGTTGGGCCGGAGTAGCCGCAGGAGCTGCAAAATGTTTTTATGGCTTTATTGGATTTGATTCCATTGCTACTACTGGTACTTGTTGATACTACTTATTGTCTCATACAATTGCTTTGTTACAAAACTGTAAATCACAATTTTTGTGTATCCAGGCGAAGAAACTAAAAATCCGAAAAGAGACATTCCTTTAGCAATAATAGCCTCGCTCTTCATTAGTACAATAGCTTACTGTGGTGTGGCAACAGTCTTGACGTTGATGTGGCCATACTACGATCAAGTAAGAGTTTCCTTCTTTAAAACTGGAATTTCAATGCTAAATAAACGCATCCGTTAAATTGTTTCAGGATGAAAATGCACCACTTCCACAACTTTACCAAAATTTGGAAATGCCCACCGTGAAGTTTATAGTGTCAACAGGTGCAATTTTTGCATTATGCACAAGGTAAACTTTTAAGCCAACCGTTCTTAAATCTATTTTTATTTTAATACTAATAATTGTATGGTTTCTAGCCTGTTGGGTTGCATATTTCCGATACCTCGAATTTTGTACTCAATGTCTGACGATGGTTTGTTATTTAAGTTTCTATCAAAAATCAATTCCACTACTAAAACTCCGTTAATATCGACGTTGTTGTGTGGAGCATTTTCCGGTAAAATTATAAGTCTATAAGTATTTTTAAAATACAAATTAAAATGAACTGGGGTTTACTCTGACTTTTTTTAGGTAGTTTAGCTGTATTTTTCAACCTTGCGCAGCTCATTGACATGGCGTCAATAGGAACCCTTCAAGCCTACACTATTGTATCTATCTGTGTACTAGTTCTTCGGTTAGTTCCTCAAATCATGCATCTACGAATAGCTTAATGTTTAGTATTGTTACTTATAATTTTAGTAAAATATGATGTCATATCAGATTTTCTTGATTATTTCAGGTATAGTGACAATAAGCCACTAAATGAAAAATGTATTGTAAAATCCAACAAAAATCAAACTCACAAATGGTTTAACTTGTCGAATACCAAAACACCCAATTCGGATACTCAATACGTGTCAAGAGCATTAATATTAATTTTTAGTAAGTAATGTTTATGATGGTTTACGAATTACACATGTTTAACTTGTGTACTTTTTATCGATAGTAAAACAAATACGTCATATTAATTTTATGGCATTACATTTTTTGTTTTGCAGGTTTGGCCTCTGTTGTTTTCGGTGTTAGTCTTGCAAACGTGGAAAGACATCATGATACTAGCAGATCAACGCTTCTAACATTGTGCTACATTTCATTTTTCATAATGGTAGTTACGACTTACATGTTGTTTAGATTACCACAAGCCGAAGAAAATCTCTCGTTTAAGGTAAAATACATTGTTTGATATAAAATTCTAATTTTGAATTTTAATTTTTGTTTTTCTACACAGGTTCCATTCGTTCCAATCATACCTTGCTTGAGTGTAATATTAAATGTGTACTTGATGATGGAATTGGATTACAAAACGTGGATACGGTTCATCGTATGGCTCCTATGTGGTTAGATACAGTATATTGATGATAGCCTCAACCGGTATATTGTCTACATGTAGTGGCGAAATTAAAATCAATTTTTTTTCAGGTTTAATGATATACTTGTTTTACGGAATTAACCATAGTTTAGAAGGTAAGAAGCAAACGAAAACCGATGAAAACAAGTCAAATATTTCTGTACAATCGATTGTAATGAGCTGTCCTTCTTAACCAAAATCAGCTCAGCTATAATAAGTATATATGACAGTACACAATTAAAATCATTTTATTAATATTAGGTATTATTAATTATTGTTATTTTGTAAGTTTTAATTTCATAATGAAATTCTTCATTATACATGTTGTTTTTGTTTTGTTTATAATAAATTATTTAACGATTATGCAATCAACAATGAACTTGCCAAGTATTATTTAAATGACCCGTTAACTGACTTTGTATAATAGTAAATGATGAGTATGTTAATAATACCTAATCCTCACAGCATAAATTATTCCCTAAAATAACTCCTATTTTATTCTAAATGCTTCATGAATTTTATTAGGAACTCCATAGGATCACAAATAGGACATATTATATAATACAGTCCGCAGCAGATATGTTGACACAAGTTATACTGCTTATGATATTATAAAATTATGTAACTAGTCTACAATTAAAAAAAATATTTTTAATAAATTATATATTATAAACTGTATCAACTTTGTACCAACATATTATTAAAGCTTATCTTACTAAATATGTTTTCTATGTGCATCTACATACCCTTTATTGTATTTTAATGCAATTTCAGGCCGAGCTTTATAAATTGATGGTCTTAAAGAAATGATTCTCTTGTTTTTTCGTTTTGCGGTATCTTAGTACTTGTTCTAAAGCATTTGAAAAAATTTATTTAAGTGGTACAACTGCACTATTAGGCGTGGAGGTATAATGTATAACCTTTGGCAGTTAATTTTTTATACAAAGCCAGTGTGCTTAGGCAACGAAATTCAATAAGCTATGATATTATTTACCTCCAGAAACTACTTTGTTACAGTAAACGATTCAATTATCGTTATAATGACCAGTAATCTTTATATTATAAATTTATCTTTAATAATTTGTTTTAAAAACAACTCGGTTAAATATTAATTATACTTAAAAAAACATTTAGTATATACAATTAACGTTTTAACGTAAAGTAAGTTAATAATAATTATCTCATTTAACAACAACTGTCGAAATAAAATTACTATGTGAAATAAGGTATGTATATTTAAAAATATGTTTATAATTTATAATATAACAGAAATAAATAATTATACATTTAGTTATTTGTATATTCACAGAAGGTTAAGTCAAGGTAAACTGCTTTTCTTTTCTTTTAATAATGTTCAAATGTTTTATTTTAGAATAATTTTGTTCTCAGTTATATTATTGTATATCTAATGGTTTAAAGTTAAGAATTATGTTTAGTCAGGTACACATAATTTTAGCATCCCCTAAAATGTAGGTATAGTTGTGCCTATGCAGTTAGTACACATAAGAGAAAGATATAGTAGTAACGTACTAAGCTTTAAACATTTGGAAAACTTTCAGTTACATTAAAATCTACTATCATCTTATACGTGTTGAACAAAAATATTCTTATTCTTACTTTCGTTGGCTGTAATTATTAATAAACTCGTTTGTCTAAATCTTAAAATATATTTTTAAACATGGCCCTAAATTTTTAGTGGGGCTTGTTAAGCAATGCTTATTTTGCTATCCGGCCCTGTCAGTGTACACATCACAAGCGGTGGTTTATCAAACGCCAAGGCAAACTTAACCGGATTATCGAATACGCCGGTAAGCTGTGTAATTATAGTATACATTATTATATATATTTTTTTTTTTTTTTGGTCTGAAAACGACGTCTTGTGTTATTTTCGCTTTGACAGCCGACAATGGACGGTCGTCGCACTGACCCTTATAATAATAATAATATAAGTAGTTAACGGCATGCATTGCTGTCGCTCACCTGGAGCGCTAGACGGTGTACGGGGAGTGTAAAATATAAACGACACGCGCCTCGTGTACAGAGCTTATTCCGTATCGGTCCGATTAGCGCGTTCACGCATAGAAAACTTTTTGAGCAAATAAACGCTGAAAAATACAAATAAATAAACAGTATACAATAAAGATTTTTTCGAAACTAAAGGTTAGGTTACACAACACAGCGGCGCCTAATACGGATCGTACGGTCACAAACGTTTTGTTCGCGTTAACGTTTTTTTTTATTATTATTATTTAGTTCAGTATTATTATCGTTAGGTACCGCCGTCGAGTATTTTTTTTTTTTTGATATAAAACCAACAAAATAAAAAAAACCGTCGAATCAAAACAAAATCGGCTGCATGAACCAGCTGAGCGTCTTGTTGCTCGAAGTTCTCCTCTCGCTGTGGATGTTCAAGTTCTTTCACAACAAAGGCTGCAGCAGCGTGCGTTTCCCGGCCGGCGGCACGTTCCAAGGATAACGCGACAGTCGATTATTAATTGTTTTATCCTATAAAATTCTTTAAATTTCTATTCGGCCACCAAACCAACCAACCAACCAACCAACCACCAGCAACAGCTGCAGCTGTTGTACCGCCGGCCTATATATTATACAACGTCTGGAACGTCTTGATCTATTTCCGTTGTCGGTCACGTGATAACCGTAACGTCTCGATCTGCCGTCCCCTGGCGGTGTAGATCTTCTGTGCAAAATCCGACCGATCTAAGAGAAATGGACGGATCGTGGTGGAATTCGGTAAGTGATGGCCAATTTTTCCTATTTTGCTTTTTACCCGTTTTTTTTTTTTTTGCTAACACCGCCCCTCCCTCTCCGCCGTTCCTCCCTTATCTCGGCGGCAACGTTTACGGTGGATTCCGTCCACGTCGGTTATGCAATTATTGCCTCTGTGTCGATAGCTTCTTGAAACGGTCCAAAGCAAACCCACAATACACAATATGTATTATCATTATCTAATCGCTGGCATTCGAAATCAAGTGGCCTTTCTTAGATAGACAGACTGTTAAAATATGTCTGGTTAACGAATAATATTATCTATTATTATACACAAGTGTGCAATTCGTCGTTTGAGCACATCGCGAAAGGTGTATTGTCAATAAATACACATAACATTATAGTTTGTACCGTACTTTTAAAAGGTCTTAAAACCGGCGAGACAGTCATTTTAGCCGGTTGTCACAAGCTGCTGACATACCCATTTATTTTTTCATGGAATGTCCTAATTTAGCGGATCTCTACTAAAAGTCGGATGTATAAAATATAAAATTGGCATTCAACTATTCGACAATAATGAATAGTTGTGCACTCCGGCGAGGAAAAAGTTAAAAATAATTGTTCTCCGCAAGATTTATAGGTGCTGTTTGAAAAATAAATTCGATATTATTTGTCTGTAAAGTGTGTTGCAGCTCTATTTAGTAATTTGAACTGTGGGCTTTACCAGTGACCCACTTGTGTACTTAAAAAAAAAATGTTACATAACAGTTTAGGAAAACGTATTTTTTCTCTATAATAAAGTGCACACCCACATAAAGTCAGCAGAAATGGCTTATTAGGGAAATAACAAAATATAGGTGTGCTTATTTATTCAATTAATTGTCCATGTGTAATACATCTCAAAGGTTTTATACTTTAGACAAACACAATTTTGTGTAAGTGGAAAAATTACTTTATGCGGTATTCCCTAGATTTCATTTCCTTATAATGTACAAAACCTAACCAAGGACTTCTTACGCAGATGAGCGGTTTTCCTCTTAACAAATTTAATTAATTTCGCCACTCATATATAAAACGCAGACTAGCAAATTAAAAACGTTCTGTAAGAATTCAATTGTATTATGCATGCATTTACATCTAATCAAACGGTATTCATAAATGGCATATAATATTTTCGCCGTCAATAGAGCAATCTCAAGTATAGTCAAGTCCTACGCTGGCAATACTGTTTACGTGGGTTCAGATAGATTAGCTGATAGTTTCTTAGGGTGCCTGCTGCCTAGTTTCAATATGGTTTTCACGAGAATGACGTTGTAGTCTTGTAAAAAAATTGTATCTGTTCAATAACTCCTTAACTTAGATAAATTAAGTAATTCAAAATGAACAAATAAATGTTATTAACTATTAAGCTTATTATTTTTAGTCTACGATTTTTGATATGTATTGGTGGACATTTTCAAAATGTTCTTGTAGTAACTGGACTTGAGACATTCTGTGTTTAATAATACAATAATTGATCTATTTGGAAATGTAGACATACCTAATAAATCATTTTATTATATTCATGTATTACATAGTTTTGGCCATTAAGTTTAATTTTAAAATAGTATTTGTAATCTATTTGCCATCGACATTGAGCGCTTGGGAAGTTCATGTCCTTCTAAAGCTAACAAAAAATGCCAGCAACCAATAAGACATAGTCTTCAAGTAACGTTTAGTTTTTACAGAAATTTATGCTTTGCACACTGAACAACTATAATTGTACACATAATATTATTATTCTAGTTATACATTCACCTATAACTTATAAGTATTGTGTAACACAAGCTTAGTGAAAAAAAAGAAACATGAATGTGACAGTTCTTTTAAAAAAAAATATATATGTAATATACTTATGCACATCTCAATGCACTCTGTTTTATCTAGTGAAAACTCGTTTGCGTACAAGATCAAAATATGTTTGCCGATTGTAGGATAATTCCTTTGCGCACATTGTTATCTTATATTTATTATTTCGGGTTAGGTTAGGTCTACACAATTGACTGGGGTTTCCGTTTTCTGCCTAAATGACTCACGACCGTTATCATCATATTTGTTTTCCGCTATGTCTGTTAACGGTATTACTGACTTCAGTAAAACTTAAAAGTTTAGCTCACAAATTGTCCAAACACTAATCAGTAAAGTACTGCCAACTTTTCCGGCATTGTAAAAGTTCAAATGTGTTTTGAGTACTGTTCCATTGTTTGGTGTTCCTGGCAATAATTTTTAATGGATAAGCTGACATTTTTTAGGATTGCTAAAGCTTTTATTTAAACCACAGTTAGTTAATAGGGGTTTTTTAATGAGGCGGCTATAGGTGCATTCGGATGGTTGTCTGAAGTTTAGACTTGTCGCATAAGCGTTTATTAACATAATGATACCTAATAATTAAATAATGTCATATTTTGTTGCATAAAAGTCATTCCTCGCGAATACAAAACAACGGTTATCTATTTTCTTTTGTTAATGTTTCATCATTTAGTTGTAAAAGATAAATGAAAATATTTATAGTCAATAAGCACTTATCTACAATACATCATTTAGGCGAATGTAACAATTAATGACATGCAATTTGTATCGTTAACTACTTAACAACACTCGTTGCATGTTCATTTAAACCTTTTATTACTAATGAAACTATTGCAATTTTTTTTTAACTTGACTTGTCTTATTGAAATGATGTCTGTCAGACAGTGAACATACAATTTTATTATACTTAAATATTTTTGTAACAAGCTTAAAATGTTAGTTTTATAGAAACAAAAACAATGCTATTTATGAAGAAATTTACCTAATTTTGGAGATCACTTTTTAACCTGATGGCTGTGGCCATAGTGGTATAGCGTATAAATAGTAATAACTTCTAAGACCTAAGTAAATATAAGTATAGCGTGTATTTACTTATTTGTATATTTATTTAACAGGAAATTATATTAACCCTGAGTCCACAATATGGACTACCCTAACCGTTGGTGTAAATTGGTATTTGTGTTATTTAAGCAACTATGGTATTGTTAGGAATGAAACTAAAAATCAGAATTTAAAAAAAAAATAATTGTCCAGCCATATAAAATTCGTATTAATATTCATTTTAGACTTAATATATTTTTATAGTTATGTATATTAAAATAAAACAATTTAAAAATTGACAATTGTACATTTTCTTTCAAACATAATCACTATTTATTAAAATTAATTTTTAAAAACGGATACCGGTGCTAGATTACAAATTTAAATAAATAAATTTGTATAGTACCTATTTAAATGTGAGTACTCATAATTCGATTTCCGCTTCCCATGCCATTAAATGCAATTTAAAGATCGAAGGGCGTTATTGAGTCTAAATTAACCTTGAATGGTAATTTGAACTAATATCAGGTTTATAAGCTAATAAGTACAGTTGTTTGATGTATTACTTACACATAGTATATCATTTATTTTATTATATATGTATATAAATAGTATAAAAAAAATCAAATGTTTTTTTAAAAATTACATTGTAAACTAAATTATATTTTTGACTACCAAACAAGTTATTATTTTTGTGTTTTTATAAATAAAGTCTAATAGAAAAAGTATTTTTTAATAATATTTTTTTAATTTATACTTATTTTTTTATAATAAGTATAAATTAAAAAATTAATTTTTTGCGAAACATTTAAATTAAATAGTTTATTTTTTTTTTGGATAAAAGTCACGTTTAAGACAATTTTAATAATAATATAATATATTATGAAATTATTAAAATGTAATCCCACGCTCGTCATAGAATTAATTTATTTTTTAGTCTATTATGTTGTTAAATAATTTGACAAAATATACAGGCAACCCTGGTGCTTAAATGGTTTTATTTGGTATATTTCTTGGCGTTTTGGTGAATGCGTCTTCACCGGCACATGCACTATAGTTTTTAGCTACAACTTAACAAGTACAATTTTAATTGAGCTGGATAATTGGCATACACTGTCAATTTTTAGATATGGTTTTACCCGTACGTTTAACCATGTACAATGTTGATTGAATTGAGTAAATGTACATAACGCAGTAGTGGCTAGGTACTCGTGTATGATGGTAATTTTACAAAAACAAGTAATTATTATTATTTTTTTACGTGTTTTTAATAAAAAATAATATAATAAACCAATTAAAAGTAATTATAGTATTTTTCCAAACAATTTGTTCTACAATCATCTTTGTTGTAGCGTCGCCAGACACTTATATTGGGTAATCTTTTAACAAGTACGTCGTACAGTTGCTATCTGAGCACTTTTTGCTTTAATTTTAAGTTTCAACTAACACTCGTGATCACGGTATAGACCACCCAACTCTGAATCATAAACGATTTTGATAGTGCTCTAAAATCCATGCTTCAAGAAAAGATCATTATGATAACTCCGAACTGGCACAATACATGTATTAATATTGCAAATACTAATCAGTTATTGAGTATTGTATACATCAGTTATAGAGTATTGAATACTTAATACTATAGTCTATATTATTGCAATTATTAGGTAAACAAAATATAGTAAAGCTACCGTCGTCAATTACAACTGTGTTTCAATATCGTTTATGACTTGTGCGCCAATTATAAACATATTATGAAAAGGCTGGAAAATGAAAAAAACCTATCGAGCTGTGGCTATTTTTAGACGCGCGTTTTTAGTGATTATAGGTAATTTCTAATATAATCGTTAGTAGACCAGTAGCAGTTATATCAAACCAAACTTAAGAAGTGGCTATAATTATTGGCAAGTTAATTCTAGTATACCAGGAAAATATTTCCACCAATTAAATCCTATGTTCATGTACAACCAGTTATACACCTTCAAATGATAATTGTACAATTTAATATATTACTCTGGCGGTACTTTGACAGTCGAAAACTAGTCTAAGGAACTTAGAATTTAATCGTTTTGATAATTTTTAAACTAAAAATAAAAATCATACATTGAATAATTAGGATGACGTACGTTGAGCGCATA